GCGTTGGACTTGACAGGTGGTGGGAAGTCATTATGAAGATGACAGTTCTCAGTGTACCAAGTGCAAGATGCTTCTAAGACATTTCTTCAAATGCTGCATTTCATTCAGATGCCTCAACAGAGATCTCTAACCTGGGAGACTGGAACGCGTCTCAGCGATAGAGGCTTTCAGAAGTGAGCTGAGGGGCTGGCGCCGTGGCGGAGCAGGCTCATACGCTACCTGTGGCGCTGGCACCCCATTTGGGTGCAGGTTCTGGTCCTGACTGCTCCACTTCCCCATCCAGCTCCTTGCCAATGCACTTGGGAAAGCAGTGGAGGGTGGCTCACGTGCCTGCAGCCACGTGGGAGGCCCAGAAGAGACTCCTGCCTTGGGATTGGCTCAGCGCTAGCTCTTGCCACTATTTGGGGAGTAAACCAGTAGATGGAAGACAACTTCTTTTTGTGTCTTGTCCCCCTCCGTTTCTGTAACTCTGCCTTTCAAGTAAAATAAATCAATCTGAAAAAGAGTGTGCTAGAGTGAAGCTTTGGGAGAGAGCCTGTGACCTGAGCCAGGGTGTTAGCGCTGCCTGTCCTGACGCAGTAAGACCTCGGCCACAAACAGAGTCCCTGAGGCGGGGAAGCCCTGTCTATTCCTTCACTCCGGCGCTGTTTCTTACTCTTGGCCGTTTACCTGTGGAGCTCTCCTGGAAAGCACAGACCATCTGAATTGTTCAGCGTGTCACTCCAGGCAGCATTCAGGACAGGATGTGACACCATCTCTCCATTGCTCCTTAAAGTAAGCCAGGGGTATTCTGCCTCGGTTCCTGCCATCCGCATGCAGAGTAACCCCTTGAACTGCTGGTCACGCCTCCACCTGGGAGCCTCTGGGACCTTCCCAGCACAGTTGGTCTCATGATCTGGTGTCTCTCCTTGTCATGTGGGTTTGCTCTGTAAAAACACTTTTTAGGGCCCAGCACGGTGGCCTAGTGGCTAAAGTCCTTGCCTTGCATGCATCAGGATCCCATATGGGTGCCAGTTCTAATACCAGCAGCCCTACTTCCCTTCTAGTTCTCTGCTTGTGACTTGGGAAGGCAGTTGAGGACGGCCCAAAGCCCTGGGACCCTGCACCTGCATGGGAGACCCAGAAGAGCCTCCTGGCTCTTGGCTTCGGATTGGCTCGGCTTAGCTCCACCTCTTGCAGCCACTCAGGGAGTGAATTAGTGGATGGAGGATATTACTCTGCTTCTCTTCACTGTATATCTGACTTTCAAATAAAAATAAATCTTTTAAAAAATTAATGTTTATCTAAAAGACCAGAGGGACAGGGAAGGGAGGTTTCCTATCTACTGGCTCCCTCTTTCTAAATGCCCTTAACAGCCAGGGCTAGGCCAGGCAGGGGCCAGCAGCTCCATCCAGGTCCCCACCATGGGCAGCAGGGGCCCAGGTCCTCGAGCTGGGCCCTCTGCTCCGACATGTGGGTGCCCCGGGCAGTGCTCAGCTGCTGACCACTCTGGCGTGAATTCTCAAGTCTCACCCTCTCCCTCCTGTGCTCTCCCACTGAGGTCTTTTCTGTGTGAGCTGCTGGGCTGGGCTTCTGCCTGTGGTGGGGAGTGTCAGATGTGCAAGTGGGGGGAGTCCTCTGAGAAGCTCTTCTCTGGGTTTGCCAGTGCAGGTTGCTTCTGTGTGTCCACTCTAATTCTGGGGCCTGGGCCTGGGCAGGTTGTTTCTGCGTGTCCACCTGAATTCTGGGGACTGGGCCAGGATGGGTTGTCAGATATTGTTGGTGGTTTTCTGTATGTAGGCCATTCTCGTTGGGGCCAGGTGGAGTCTCAGTGTAGATTTGCATATATTTCCCTGATTGCTAATGAGCTTGAGCATTTTTTCATGTGTCTATTAGCCATTTGAGTTTGTTCCTTTGAAAAATGTCTGCTCATTTCTTTTGCCTATTTCATAACTGTGATGGTCTGAGAAGATGTGTGGATGATTTTGATTCTTTTAAATTTGCTGAGGCTTGTTTTGTTACCTGTCATGTGATCAATTCTGGAGAAGATTCCATGTACGGATGAAAAAAAGGTGTATTCTGCATTTGCAGGATAATAAGTTCTGTAAATATCAATTAGGTTCATTTGTCCTATTGTCTAGGTGAGATCTGTTGCCTCCTTGCTGAGTTTGTCTTGTCAATGTGTCCATTGATGTCAGTGGGGTAAGGTCCCCCCACTATTGTTGTCTTGGCATCTGTATCATCATTGCTTCTTTCTGGATGCATCCCTTTATCATTACATGGTGTCCCTCGTCATCTCTCAACACTTTGCACGTTGAAATCTGGATCATCAGTAGTAAAATGACCACAGTGGCTCTCTTCCCTTTTCCATTAGTGTGACGTATTCCTCCCATTCTTTCTTCAGTGCCTGTGCAGCTTGGTTGCTGAGAGGGCTCTTTTGGGGTTGAATTCCGTGGTATGACTGCACCGTGGCTTGTGCAGTCAGTTCTGAAGGTGTCTTGGCTCCCTCAGGGTGATGAACGAAGCTCTGGGATGTGGACACACATGCTTGGCTAGATGCGCACCAAGATGTGCACTTGCTGGGGTCTGTGCACAGAATGTATTTGGTTGTGTGAGAAAACTTCCCAATATCTTCCAGAATGATTGTGATCTGTGTGGCTGCCTGCGGCACAAGGGAACTGGGAGCACCGTGGGGTACCTCTGAGCAGCTCAGGAGGTGTGGAGAGCAGAGCCGTGCCTCAAAGATGGCGCTTGTTGACCATCGCTTCATGGCACAAAGGTGGTAAACAGGTTTCGGGAAGTTACTAAGGATTGGGCCGAGCACGCAGGGGAGCTACGTGACCTAAGTCATGATTGGTGTGTTTATCGCATGACGTGAGGAGCTGTGTATGGATTGGTTTGTGCTATGTAAAAGGTTGTGGGTAAGAAAATGGTTAAAACAAGATTCCCCTGGGCATGCTTCAAGGTTATGCTGTAATCGCTTCACTGTAATAAATCTTACAACTGTTGCAACTTTTTCTTTCTTTTCTTCACTTTGCCACAACGCTTGAAGTCTTACCCAATAAACTTTTTTAAGAATCTTTACCGTATCGGGGTTTTGCTCGCGGGACCAGGGACCCCGATAAGGAGGCACTGCCCTTTGAGGTTCCAGCATGTGGTAGAGCAGCTGGGTGGCTCCAGGTGACCTGCCAGTGTGTTGCGCCCCTCTATGTGTCCTGCCCAGTGTGCTGTGTCCCCTGTGTGTGTCCTCACCCGGTGTGCTGTGTCCCCTCTATGTGTCCTGCCCAGTGTGCTGTGTCCCCTGTGTGTGTCCTCACCCGGTGTGCTGTGTCCCCTCTATGTGTCCTGCCCAGTGTGCTGTGTCCTCTGTGTGTGTCCTCACCCAGTGTGCTGTGTCCCCTGTGTGTGTGTCCTGCCCAGTGTGCTGTGTCCCCTGTGTGTGTCCTCACCCAGTGTGCTGTGTCCCCTGTGTGTGTCCTCACCCGGTGTGCTGTGTCCTCTGTGTGTGTCCTGCCCAGTGTGCTGTGTCCCCTGTGTGTGTCCTCACCCGGTGTGCTGTGTCCTCTGTGTGTGTCCTGCCCAGTGTGCTGTGTCCCCTGTGTGTGTCCTCACCCGGTGTGCTGTGTCCCCTGTGTGTGTGTCCTGCCCAGTGTGCTGTGTCCCCTGTGTGTGTCCTCACCCAGTGTGCTGTGTCCCCTGTGTGTGTCCTCACCCGGTGTGCTGTGTCCTCTGTGTGTGTCCTGCCCAGTGTGCTGTGTCCCCTGTGTGTGTCCTCACCCGGTGTGCTGTGTCCTCTGTGTGTGTCCTGCCCAGTGTGCTGTGTCCCCTGTGTGTGTCCTCACCCGGTGTGCTGTGTCCCCTGTGTGTGTGTCCTGCCCAGTGTGCTGTGTCCCCTGTGTGTGTCCTGCCCAGTGTGCTGTGTCCCCTCTGTGTGTTCTGCCCAGTGTGCTGTGTCCCCTGTGTGTGTCCTCACCCGGTGTGCTGTGTCCCCTATGTGTGTCCTGCCCAGTGTGCTGTGTCCCCTGTGTGTGTGTGATAATCCTACATTGGGGATGAGGGTTGGAAGAAGGGGTGTGTCTGCACATTTAACCAGTGAGTGTAGGGGTGCAGGTAGGCTCAGGACCTTCCACAGACAGATGTCCCCCACGGCCCACCGTGAGCGTTGCCTACTGGATGCCCGGTGAGTCTGTGACTGAATGAAGAGGCACTGAGTTTGTCACACATGGGCATGAGAATCCACACCCGTAGCAGAGTTGATCAGGGTGTTAGAAGACCCATCTTTGGGGCGTGGAAGAGGGCGTTGGCTCTCCACGGACTCACAGTTGGTGGCCTAGGCAGGCGTCATGCATGACATCTGGTGTTGTACACAGGGACACAGGGAGAGGGAACTCCTGGGGATTCAAACGCTGGCTACAGTGCTGTAGCCACAGGCAGGACAAACACCACAAACTCCCACAGGCCCACACTGGGGCCACCAGCCTGAGCAGAGTCGCTTGGAGGAACTCTGGTTGTCAGACACCAGTATTGGCTGTAGCCACAGGCAGGCAGTGGGCTGGCAGGAGTATGCAACCCCAGGCCTACTGGCGTCTCTTTCATGGGCTCACGGGAACACAGCATGACAGATGGCTGGAATCCTGATGAGCAGGCTGGCGGGACATGCAGGCAAGAAAAATACGGCCCAAATACAGGAAAAAATCTTAAAACATAGGTAGGTGTTTGCTTTTGTGTTGGAGAGAATATTCTACACTTTATTTCAGAATAGCATTCTTGGCATAGTGCCAAGCATCTAATAGGTGCTTAATAATTGCCTTCTCTTAGACACCATGTGCTTATTGTATATATGCAGGCACTGTGACAGCTAGTGCAACACCTCTAAGCTTCTAGATGTTTCTCATGGTTGTACACTCGGGTTCTTCGTAATGCCAAAACAGCCTGTGTGCAGTGCCTTGCAGACTATGCTCTCGGCTGCTCACCTGTAAACTCTACTGTCAGCCACTTACCTGCTGTCCTTCCCTCCCCAGGTGTCATCTGCAGAGGTACGGATTGGGCCCATGAGACTGACCCAGGACCCTATCCAGGTATGACCCCATCCTCACAGGCTGGAGGGTAAAGGTTAGAGTGTGACCACACTTCATGGGGTGGAGGGCAAGGGTTAGAGTGTGACCCCACATCTCACGGGGTGGAAGGGCAAGGGTTAGAGTGTGACCTTATCTCCTGTCAGGACAGGAATACCTGTGAGCATCATTTGAGGGGCTCTTCTGGTGTGAAATTGTCCTGTCCAGCAGGACAGTCAACGGGGGTCGCAACCACCTAGGAGAGAATGGGGGACAAGAGACGAAGAATGGACAGCAAGACAGGATGTCTGATCAAGCTGTCAATTTATTGATTTTAATTGAGGGTTTTTATATTCTTCTGTAACTAAGGCTCAGGGAGGAAAGGAGAAACTAGGACACAAGCCATGGTCTCCAGACTGATTGTTCTTGAGCAGCCACCATATCAACAATAGTAACCAGCATATCAACAATAGCATAGGTAATCAGTAACATGATGTCGGCAGGTACAGCATAAATCACATTCTGAAACAGTTGCTAGAAACAGTTGAAGCTAAGCATGTGATTAGTTTCATAACTTCTTTCCCAAACATCTAGCCAGCCAGGAATTTTCCACTGGCCCATAGTTCTATATTCAAAATGGCTTCAGTGTGGCTATAGTACACGGGTCCTGACATGAAATTATCCTCAGTGCATCTACACCTGAGTGCCTGGCATGTGTCCACCCATGTGCACACTGTGTGTCCATGTGAGTGGCTGGCATGTGCCCATGTGTGTGCCTGGCGTGTGCCCATGTGTGTGCCTGGTATGTGCCCATGTGAGTGCCTGGTGTGTGTCCACCCATGTGCACACTGTGTGCCCATGTGAGTGGCTGGCGTGTGTACATGTGAGTGCCTGGCATGTGTCTACCCATGTGCATGCCATGTGTCTGCCTCTCTGTCCATGTGTGTTTATCAACCATGTGTAAATCTTTCCATTTGTGTTTTCCTGGACAGCTGTAATTGTTTTCAGGGAGAACTCGGTGTCACTGAGCTGGAGCCGTGGAACAGGTGGACAGCATGCAGGCCGTGGACAGGAGCCATGGGCACTCTGCAGCACTCACCTGCAGAGCAGCCTTAGGAGGACTTGGCGTGGCCTCAGCTGGGGTGGCCTTGGCTCTACCCTTGAGTGGCCGTGTGCCTCATGAGTGTCCCCTCCAGCCCACCATGTCAGGGTGGCACCGTCAGCCTTGGGAGTGTATCAGGTGCTGGAACACTCCTGGCAGTAGGAGTGCTCTGTGCACATCTGCTGCTGTTCCAGATGAACTGGAGGGAATGTTCCCTCGTGTGGCTGCTGTCACATAAGCCAGGCTGCCTGCTGGGCTCTGCTCTCAGCGGGAAGGCCGTGTCCTGGGGCAGCAGGCTCAGCTGTCACGGACTCTCACAGCCCCTGCCTGAAAAACCTAGAGGGGAGATTGTGGCGTGCTTTTCAGTAGCTTTGGAATCTACACAGACATCCTCCATGGAACCACCTGCTTGTCCACAGAACAGCTTGTTGGCACCTGGAAGCAGGGCCTGCAGACAGGTGGCAGCCAATGCGATGTGTAGGGGAGAACCAAGCCGCCCAGGAACATGTTCAGAAAGGGAAATGCAAATGCCAAGAAAGGGAGAGACAAAAGGAGATTTTGCTTGGGAAAATCAGATGAAAACAAACTTGGAGCTGAGAGAGGAAAATAAACAGAAGCCACAGCTGTTTGTGGAGAGTACACACAGTGGAAAATCCCAGTCCTGTTTCTGGAGTGCACACTTGGCCTGGGGATTTCAACAAAGGCAGAGACCAGCAGGAGGCTTGCTGCCAGAGCGACCTGCACTCACTCCTGGGGCTTGCTGCCGTCACATTAAAGCCATGGCACAGAGGCTCCTGTCCACTCTGTGAGGCCGGTCATGGAGTGAGCCTCATGGTGAGGAGTGCCTGGCTCCTACAAATACCACTGGATACTTCAGATGTTCAAGGGGGGCCAGAGTGGGGGAATGTTGTTCACTCCTGCCTCGGGTGTGCGATGTGCCCTGTGTGTTCTGCCCTTCAGTTGCCCCTTGGTGTGTGTGTCTGCCTTCACATGATCAGGTTGGGGTGACACTGGCCCCCTGGAGGAGCTGCAGCTTTCATGGGAAGGTCGCATGCAGGAAGGTTCTTGCTTTGGGCAGCATCCTTGCCACCCCCCAACACCCCGCCCTTCCTCTGTTGCGTGGGGCCAGGAAGATTCACTTGGTGTCTTCCTCTGGGTCAGCCCTGGAATCTGATTGGAGTGAAGCGAGGTAGAAGACCAGGTCCACTCGGCTGCATGTGGGTGTCCAGCTGGGCCAGCACCATTTATTTAAATGTTTCTCTCTGGCTAGCACTATGGTGTTGGGAGTCAAGCCACTGCCTTGGTGCCAGCATCACATGAGCTGCGATGAGCACTGGTTCGAGTCCTGGCTGTTCTGATTCAGCTCCCTGCTAGAGTGCATGGGGACACAGTAGAGGATGGCCCAAGGCCTTTAGTTCCTGCACCTACATGGGAGACCCAGAAGTTCCAGGCTCTGGCTTCAGTGAGGCAGCCCACTATGTCTGGCTTATGCTGTAGAGTAAGTTTTAAGATTGTGGTGTGCTAACCTGCCAGCTGTGTTCTTGATTTTCAAGGTTACTTTTTCCTGCTTGGGTCCCAGTGTCTGTGTGGATGGAACAGCCAGTTTGTAAGGTGGGAGGGCAGCCTTGCCAACAGTTGTGTCCTCAGCCTGGAAGCTGAAGACACCTGCTGGTGCCACAACATCTTACTTCCCTCCACCCTGCTGAGCCTGCCTTCCCGGATGAATGCCTCAGGATTTTTCAGAAACTAGATTGTGGCATTCTTTCCCATCTAGATGCCTGTTCCTCCTTGCCTACATGGCCTGGGAAGTCCCTGAGTGGAGGTGTGCGGTGTGGGGTTGTAAGTGTCCTGGGAAGTCTCCCCAGCAGGAGGTATGTGGGTGGGGGGTTGTAAGTGTCCTGGGAAGTCTCCCCGAGTAGAGGTGTGTGGGTGTGGGGTTGTAGTGCCCTCAGCGCTTTTCCCACTGCTCTGCCACTTGCGGCTGTTTGAGCACCCTGGACTTGTCCCGTCTGCTGTTGTTGCTCCTCTGAGTGGTAGCTGCCCTGGCAGAGGAATGGTGATTTGTTCCTGTGGTCCAGTGACGGATGGAGAGCTTATCATCGTTTGCTCCTTTGCCTTTCCTTTGTTTGCTTTGGCAGAATGTGTGAGTGGCAGCTGAGGCTGGTCCGGCCAAGCTGGGAGTCAGGCACTTGACCTGGCTGCCCTCTCCCCACTCCCCCGTGGAGGCAGGGACCCTGTTACCTGAGGCATCACTGCTCCCTTCTTATGAGTACTAATCCCCACCTTTTCTTAGATTTATTATTTTTTAAACATTTGATTTTTTTTATTATTGGGAAGTCTGATATACAAAGAGGAGGAAAAACAGAAAGGAAGATCTTTTTTCCTGTCAAGTTGATAAAGCTTTTGGAGTTGGAGATGGTTCTTTTGGTAGTTAAGAGTTAATTGAGTGCACATTTAGCAGTCAGAGCAGAGACGCTGTGGTCACAGGGTCAAGACAGTCACTTGGCAGTGTCAGGGGCTCTGGAGCGACACAGCCGGCTTCGATGAGCCTGTGGTAGGTTCAGCCTGCATGCTGCTTGTGTGTGCGCTCAGCTGCTGTGCCGCGAGGCTTCGTGTCTCTGGAAATGTGGCATTGGACAAACAGGAAGTGTGGTCCTGTGCAAGGTGCTTGACCTGACAGTGGATGTTGGGAGATGTGCTTGTGGCCTGCTGTTGCACTTTGTTTCATTAGGGGGCTTGTATGGGATGAGTTGACTCAGTAACTGGATTCCCACAGCAAAAGTGGAATTGAGAACATTGGCAGGGGTAGATGTGTGCCCAGGGTAGCCAATGGCTGCAGCGGGATGAGGCGTCCCCCAATTCACTGCCTGTGCTCCTCTGTGTATTCCCACTGTTGAGTTAATGAGATGCGTGCCCTGTGCAGTGATGGAGGCTGGATGGGTGTGGCTCTTTTCTGTGAGTGAGGCATGCTGGGTAGGATGAGTGTGGCTCTTTTCTGTGAGTGAGGCATACTGGGTATTTCATCCCAACAGGTGGTAGCTGTCAGACTGAGCGCTCCTTGTTTTTGTCCCAATTTTAAGCCAGGTGTTAGTGCAGGTGGTTCCTTAATCTGGAGTGGTTGCTGTGTGTTTCATGGAGCACCTGTTGATGCATCTTCTTTGTTTTTAAAAGATTTATTTGTTGTGGAAAGTCAGCGGTACAAAGAGAATAGGAGAGACAGATGTTTGATCTGCTGGTTCACTCAAGTGGCCACAGTGGTTTGATTGTCCAGGTAGACAGCCAGGAGCCAGAAGTTTCCTCTGTGTCTCCCACATGGGCATAGGGGCCAAAGGCTGGGAACCATCCTCTGCTGCTTTTCTAGGCCATCAACAGGAAGCTGGACAAACAGCAGGCAGCTGCGACATGAACCAGCACTCTCATGGGATGCCGGTGCCACAGCTGGTGCTTTGCCTGTAAACTCCCAATGCTGGCTCCTGGGTCTGCCTTCGAGCAATAGGAAAGTTCTGTTACATTTCCCAGAAGGTTCTGCAGGTGCTATGTGAGCACCTGGTGAATGCCAGGCTGGGGCTGGGCACTGGGGCAGGAAGATTCTTTGAGTGTCACAGGGGACTGGGGAGACCAGACGACCACGGCGAGCTGGTGGGGGAGGCCCCGCTGCCCGCTGCAGTGCGTGTAGCTGCTTTTCCGTGCGACCGAGAGAGCTGCATTCTCCCCTTTCTTGTACCATCCCCTTACATTCCCATGTCCTTCTAGCTGTTTCAGCACTAAATTCAGGGGCTCCAGGCACCTCGAGGCCAACACTGCTGGAACTGAACCTTGTCACACTGTACACAGAGCACACTCTAAAATGGGTTGGTGAGCTTGTGCAAGCTCGTCAGTAGGTTGACTCCTGCTGTCATGTGACACGCAGCTGCAACCAGAGCACCCTCTGTGTTCTGTTTTCATGGCGGACCCAGGAGCTGGTTGTACCACGTCTCACAGCTGGGGCCTGCAGGCCAGAGAGGAAGTGGCCTGTTCGGATGCCATGTGGCCAGTGGAGCTGGTGGGGGCCTGGTGGGGGCTTGGCCAGCGTCCGACAGAGGGTCTGTCTGAGGCCGGAGCACCACAGGCCTGGCCCCGATGTAGCACTCAGCAAGTCTTCTCGCATTTCAGGTTCTACTGATCTTTGCGAAGGAAGACAGCCAGAGTGATGGCTTCTGGGGGGCCTGTACCAGGGCCGGCTACACGTGCAGCATTGCCCACACGCCGGAAGCTGCCCTGCAGTGTTTCCTGGACAAGCACCATGAGATCATCGTCATTGACCACCGGCGGGCCCACGGCTTCGATGCAGATGCCATGTGCAGGTGCCTTCTGTGGTGCAGCCTGGTTCACGTGTGTCCTTTTAGCAGTGCCATTCATCACAGCATGCTTAAAGCATGTCCATTTAGCGGTTCGTTCCATGACACAGCGGGTTCTAAGTGTGTCTGTTCAGCAGTGCCTTCCATGTAGTGGTGTCTTCAGCAGGTGCCATCCATGACACAGCGGGTTCTAAGTGTGTCTGTTTAGTGATGCCATCCATGACACAGCCTGTATTACATGTACCTTTAGTGGTGCCTTCTGTTATTCTGTGCGTTTGGATTCAAACCACGGGTTTTCACCTCACTATTCTCTGAAGTGAGCATCAGAAATGTGTGACACGTGGATTCTGCCTCGCCTGAAGCAGACAGGCAGCAGTAGCAGAGAATGTTCTGGGCTCACACCCTGTGTGTGTTCACAAGAAGCTCATGCTATGGTGGGAGGCACCTGCCACTCACAGGAAGCCCAGGCCCCTGAGCAGGAGCTAGTGCCTTCAGAGCTGCCTGTCAGGGCCCTACTAGACCAGGTCCCAGGCAAGAGCACGTGTGTGTCGTGTGTGCCCCGCCTGTCGCTGGATGAGATGGGGCCATGCCCTGACCACCTGGCCACCAACACTCACTCCCCAAGAGCATGTGTGCATGCCTGTCACCCTGAGTCCCGGCTTGTGGAACAGACTAGACCTCGGTCCCTGTGGTCCCCCTCAGCCAGAGTGGGGTAAGGGTGTCTGCAGGGGAGACAGGAGGAAGGTAGCAACAGGAAGCCACACTGTCAAGCCAGTGCTGGGCATGCCCTGAACCACATTGGTCATTGCCCCTTGTTGCCACCCAGGGCTGGTGGAGATGGCATATGGGCGAGGACTGTGTGTGGTCAGCCTGCAGGTTAGGCCTCCTATAGCCCAGGGGGCGCCAGCCATGTTTCTGCTGGGTGTCCAGCAGCTTCCCGTGAGCAGGACCTGCTCTGAGGGGCGCTAAGTAGATGGGAGGAGGTCAGCTGTGAAGGAACATGGACTTGTCTCTTGCATCTTGGCCAAGAGCTCACCGAGCAGCCCCAGTGTGCAGACGGAGACCCAGCTGAGGGCAGGGCTGCCTGGGTTGGCTGCAGGCATGGCCTGGAGGCAGTGAACAGATGTTTCAGGGTTTGAGGCGTTGTCCTGCACACAGGGTGTCCTTCTGCAGGTGTCGTGTGGGTTTTAACAGTTCATGCTGGACAGGGCTCTGTATCCGAGTTAGGCAGAGCAGGGTGCTGTTCATCTCCCCACTGGGCACCAGGTCCCAAATCCCTGCTGCCACCACCACTACCCCACCATGTCCTGCTGGCCCCATGCCCCACACTCCCCACCGGCCCCACTGGGCACTGGGCCGCTGTCTGACCTGGAGCCTTCTCCTTGCAGGTCGATCCGGGCCACCAACCCCTCGGAGCACACAGTGATCCTTGCAGTTTCATCCCAGACGTAAGCACGTCCCTCCTTCCCTCAGCTTGCAGGGGCCTTCCCTCATGTGAAATCTAGTTGCTGTTTTCTGTGGGGTGCTGTTTGCTTGCCAGGCTGTGGGAATATTTAGGTGTCGCCCCCCTGTCTGCCTGCTGCTCCCCATGGCCCACTCACCAGAAACGTAGGAGGGGCTTGTCTGAAGAGAGGGTCCTGCTGAGGGTCTGGCAGGGAGGGACTTGCTGGTCTCTTAGGAAGAGCCCCTGCTGGGGAGGGGTGATAAGGCACCCATTTACAGCCCCCTGCGAAGGAAGAGCCGGTCCGTGCCGTGGGGACGGTGGAACATTGAGGCTGTTCAGATTTATTGTCTGAAACGAAAGAGTCATCAGCAGAAACAGTCATGTACACAGTCATGTGGCTGAATTCAGGGTCAACAGCAGGACTGCACAGCCCCTAGGCGCTGCAGTCACCTGTGGCTTGAGAGAAGACCAGGATGTGTACGGCCATACCACCCTGAACGTACCCGATCTCGTCTGATCTCGGAAGAGAAGACCAGGGCCTGTGGGCCCACCCCCGTGTTGTGTTTGCAGTGGACACAGGTTCTGCAGGAGCTCTGTGTTAGGGTGAGGGTGGCCCTACCCTGGAGACACTGAGGCCTTTGCAGAGCTGCCCCAGCCAGTCCTGCAGCAGCTTGTGGTGTTGGCCAGGACTCCCCTTTGCCACCTCACACGTCTCTTCTTGGGAGGGCTCTCCTGTTTGTTCCATGCTCACCTCACACTGTGGTCCAGGGAAAGCAGGAAGCATCTTGTTACCTGGGCCCGGCCCAGGAGAGTTGGGTCCCCAGGGTGGCCACTGCCTGCCCTCCCTCCGGGTCCTGCATAGGCTCCTGGCGTCTTGGTGAAGGACACCAGAGAGGGGCCTGGCCACATGGGCCGGGAACAAAGTTTTTCTGCTGCTCCTGCAGAAATCTGTTAGAGTGGACAGTGAGTGCAGACCAGAGGCTGGACCCCTGCTGCTGGCCTTGTGCCTGTGTGTGCCCTCTATCTCTGAGGGAGGTGGGGCATGCAGAAGCAGGTTCCCCTGCAGGGCAGGAGTCCCCCTGGCCAGGACTGCTGCCAATGGTCATCAGGTGTCCTCCACCTGGCTTTGGGTTGCACTTGACTCACCCCTTGTCCTGTCCTTGGAGTGTGTGCCCCATGGTGCCCACAGGGCATCTGTGAGTTCTTTCTCTGAGACTGGTGACAGCCCTGTGACCCGCCCTTACCCTGAGCTTGGACCAAAGTTGCAGGACCCAGCTTCAGGCTCAGCATAGGAAATTTGCTCAGGAAACAAGTGATACTGTACCCCATGACACCAGTCTTGTGTGTGACTGAGGGGCCCTACAGCCTGTGGGGAGAGCGGGATCCAGCTCTGGCTTGAACTTCCAGCAGGTTGAGGGGCAGCAGTGTGGGGATGAGCAGGGCACCTGCCGTGTCCCTGCAAAACCTTCTCACATGTCCACTCCACGGGCTGGCAGGAGCCTCCAGTGCCCTGAGAGCCACCCTTCTGGGCATTCCTGATGCCACTTGTGTGTCGGGCACTCTCCCTGGAGGCAGCTCTGTCCATGTCCTGGTCAGGGAGTCGCTTTTGACATTGACAACTGTGGCCTCCTTGCCCTCCCTGCTGGGTTTTGTATGAGGAAGTGGGTTCGTATCTGCTCAGTGATGACATTTTCTGCTTTGCTACAGGTCGGATGACCACGAAGAGGCCTCGGTCCTTCCTCTACTGCACGCAGGCTTCAACCGGGTATGTATGACCCCCGAGCTCTGTCTCAGGCTCACTGCCATGAGTGAGAGGGCTGTGGGGACTGAGCCCCGGGACTGCAAGAGAGGAGGGGCTGTTGGTTCTGCGTCTACCTCTCCCTCTCGCGGCCCTCATGTAAACATCTTGAGGTAGTCAGGCCGCGTCCTGTGGTGCCACAGTGATGGCACAGACACCAGTCCATCCGTCACTGCAGAGCATAAACGCACGTATGTGTGTGTAAGAATGTGGAGCGAAGTCCTGCTCGGTCCAGACCGCACGTTCACAGAACCCGGCCAGAGCGTGAGAGTACCAGGGGGCAAGGGGCGAGTTAACCTGCCCGTCCTGGGAGGTGACCCACCGGCTGGAGTCACACAGTCAGCTGGAGCAGTTCAGTACGGATGGGAGTTTTGTTCCCTTTTATAAAAGGCCATTACAGGGAAAGAGAGGTCTCCATCTGCCTCGCAGTGGCTAGGGCTGAGCCAGGCCGAAGCTGGGGCAGAGAAGTTTGTTCACATATGTCCCCCATGGGTGTTGGACCAAGCCCTTGGACCATCCTCCACTACTTCCCCAGGCTGTTAGCAGGGAGCTGGGTCAGAAGTGGAGCAGTTGGGAACTGAAGCAGCATTAGTCTAGGATGCAGGTGCTCCATGCAGTTGCTTGGCCTGGTTGCCACATGGCTGGCCTGGAAGCGTGGGGGCTGGCTTTGTAGGTGGGAGTCCTGTGGCAGGTGTCAGCATGGCTCCCCATGTCTTCCCTCAGAAGACTACATGATGTGCGGCTCGGTAATTGTCCCTGGTTTTCAGATGACCGACCTGTCAGTTCATAGGCTGTGATGTCCCGGCTTAGACCACATGCATCCCGAGGAAAAGCTGCGCAGCTTCAGGGCTGCAGCAGGGCACACAGGCAGGGGTCTTGGACTGCATTGTGGAGCCGCCACGGGGTATGGCCAGCATGGTCGCCACGGGCTGTGTGGACCTCCCGAGGCCTGGGTTAGCTTGGGGAGCTCCAGGTGGCTGTTCTTTTTAGGACAAAATCCTGATGTTGGCAGCTCTTTGTTAAGCGCTTTCCAAATATGCCAGCCATTTTCGCCTCCTGTGAGGTGGTTCCCGCTGCCGAGCCATTTCTGTTGTGCTAAATCAGCTACTGAAGCCACATTGCCAGCTAATGGGCCAGCGCTTTAGGCTCTGGTCCCTGAACGGAATCCTGGATCAGACTGTGCTGTGAAACACCCTCCAGGGAGCCCACGGAGCCTCGCCCCTAGGCTGGCAGCGCTGACAGAGCCTATGAGAAGCTGCTGATGTCCTTCTGCCAGGCCTCTGGGTGACTGTCCCTCAGGAAATATTTCCATTCTGTGAGAACTCAGACGCTGGGGCAGCCACGGGTGGTCAGGGCCCTGCTAACTCCCAGTATGAGCAGAGATTGCCTCGTCACAGGGTTTCATGTGTTTTTATAATGTTGTGGACGACACATTCAAAGCCCAGCGCCCAGCTCCTTACAGAAAACCACGTGCTGACTGCTGCCTGTGGCCTGCTGTAGGCTCCTGGTGGCCTCCGGGTGACCTGAAGCCCAGTGGGTGCGGTCAGTTGTCCTTTTCTTTTAGGGAAGAGCGGTCTCAAACCAAGTTGTCTTCAGTGCAGTTGCAGCTTCGTCCCCACATGGTCTCCCTTGGGTGCTGGGCAGTGTGTGTGCTCGGACTGAACCCCACCACGTGTTGTTGCTTTGTGGATGAGCAGAGTGGGTCGTCCTGCGTGTTTACCCTTAGCACTTCTGGGCTTTCTCACAGAGTAGCAGGAACCAGAGGTCCAGGGACAGTGAAGGGGCTTCCCAAGGAACTGGCCGGGCAGCGGCCTGTGTCGAGAGCGGGACTGTGCTCATCTGTCTGTGTGAACTGTCTGAAGGAGTGCGGGAATGTGTGAGTGTACAAGTCAGTGTGTGTGGAGTCCTACGGGAAGTGAGTGTGAGTATGACTGCAGGACTGAATGCATGTGTGAGCATGTGAGTGTGTAAGTGTGTGAAGGCTGTGTGTGCGTGTGTGCTCAGCCGGGTGGCATTCTGCCTTTGCTGCCAAGAGGAGTATGCAGCCCAGCAGGTCCAGGGCTACCATGCTGTTCCACAGCATTTTCAGGGCCTTGCCAGCTCTTCAGTTTTGGGCACACCTCTTGCAGGTGGCAGCCGGGTCTGGGGTCTCCGTCTGGTGCTCTGAGCAATACGCATGTGTGTTTTCTTGCAGAGATTTGTGGAGAACAGCAGCGTCACTGCCTGCTACAATGAGCTCATCCAGATCGAGCACGGAGAAGTCCGTTCCCAGTTCAAGTTACGGTGAGTGAGAGCGAGCAGCGTTCACATGGAGTAATAGAAGACACCCAGCACCCAGTGATGACACGGAGTGACAGTACAGAGGGTGGGCACCTGCTCTCCTCGGCTCCTAGACGCCCATCTGTTGGCACTGTCCACGGGGTGTGAGAAATAGGAGAGCTCACCAGCAGTCCACCACAGTACCAGCCAACTAGCTACACTTTGTTTATCCTCTGGTATTTGGTGATTGGTGATGTAACAGAGGAAATGCAAGTTTTAAAATTTTAATTATTTTTGGTTTCTAACAGGTTTGGTGTAAGAATGTTACGGCTTTTTTAAAAAGCACTAACATGGCCCTCTGTACCTTTCAGGGCCTGTAATTCAGTGTTCACGGCCTTAGACCACTGTCACGAGGCCATCGAGATAACAAGTGACGACCATGTGATTCAGGTATGAGGACCCTGGTCGCCTGGGCATGGGCCATTAGCAGCATGAATCTTGCAAGGCTTAGCCACTGTCTCAGCTGGGCTCCTCCTGCTCTGCCCGCTGTCTCAGCTGGGCTCCTCCTGCACTGCCCGCGGTCTCAGCTGGGCTCCTCCTGCACTGCCCGCTGTCTCAGCTGGGCTCCTCCTGCACTGCCCGCTGTCTCAGCTGGGCTCTTCCTGCACTGCCCGCTGTCTCAGCTGGGCTCCTCCTGCACTGCCCACTTTCTTTACAGAGGGGGAAATCCTTGGGTCTGAAGAGTAGACATGATGAACAGAAAGTGGTTACTTCCCAACAGCACCTTCAGTTTTTTGGGCAGAGAAGGGTGCAATGTGTAGATAGTCTGTGAAGACAAGATTTATGGAGAAGTTAATCATAACCACACAGTGGCTGTCTGAGTGCCCATGGAAGTGGAGCTGGTCAGAGATGCCCACTTACAAGGGAAGTTCCCAGAGAATGCAGGGCACGAAGAGCCTGTGCGTGGAATTCTGGATTCTGCTGCATCGGACTTAGCCGTTGAACTCCGTCCTCCAGACTAGGAAGGTCCCTCACACTTGTCTGCAATCTGCAGTTGCTGTTCTCACTGTAAAGCTCTCACAGCCCCGGCCTCCTGCAGCAGAAAGTGGGCAGAGTAGGCAAACCTTCACTGAAATACGACTAGTTGGAGTGGAAGGCAATAATGTGGGGGAGTGAAACATGCACATACCACTAGGGGGCAGGCGTGGGGTCAGTGGGCCCGGGATTCCTGACAGGGTCCCCCTGCCTGCCAGTGGCACCCTGGAGGGCAGCACTGTGGCTTGGGTGATGTGCCCCTGCAGCCCCAGGTTCCTGGCTTCAGCCTGGCCCAGCCCTGGCTGTCTGTGGGCATTGGAGATTGAGCAGGTGGGTGGGTAGCAGCATTCTCTCCCTCCTCTCTACCCCTGTGTCTCCTCCCTTCCCCCTTTGTCTCTGTCTCTGTTCCTCTTTCCCTCCCTCTCCCTCCCTCCCTCCCTCTCTCCTTCATAAATACATGAATCATCTCAGAAACAGTAATAGTTGGAAAGTAAACCTCTCACTTACTCCCCATTGTAAACTGCCCGCCTGCTCGGTGCCTTGGATGAGGGTCCTTGCTGTTGTCCTCAAAGCCGAGCAGACAGCGGTGCCCAGTGGCCCCAGGCAGGAGCTCTCCAGGCCCTGCACAGGCAGTCCTCACTCCACCCGAATGCTTACCTCCCTGCCATAGTGAACCAGTAGTCAGAAACCAAGGCTCGAGGATAGGAGGGGGGCCAGTGACGCTGTGCTGTGCACATGGAGGTGGGCTGCCATGACGGGCTGCTTCATGTATGCTCCTATTGGGCGCCGCATGCATCCCCACGAGGAACTGCCGAGGGACTTGAGTGTCCTGGGCAAGTCTGTGTGATGCCAGTCCTGGCTGGGCTTCCATGGTTTTTTGTTTCAGAACAATAGCCACTCTCCATTCTGTCTTCTCTGTGTACTTTTTGATGTGCTGGTGTGTCAGAGCTGGGCCTGTTAGCGCAGCTCTGCTCGTATGCTCTGGGGAGGTGGGCAGGTGCTTGGGTCTGTGGGATGACCGCTGCCCCAGAGCTCCCCGCCCCGACATCCCACCTCCCCGCAGTACGTCAACCCTGCCTTCGAGAGAATGATGGGCTACCACAAGGGTGAACTTCTGGGGAAGGAGCTGTCCACCCTGCCCAAGAGTGACCGGAACCGGGCTGACCTACTGGACACCATCAACACATGCATCCGGAAGGGAAAGGTGAGTACACCACGGAACCCTCCCGGGTACCTGGAGCTGCCCCTGCCCACGCCTGAAACAGGCATGCTTGGACAGGCATCCCTTTTTGTCAGAGGCGGGAGGGGGGAGCATGACATGGGCCTGGGACATCACTGCTGGCCTGGTCTTCGCTGGTCTTGGCTGGTCTTGGCTGGTCTTGGTCTCCAGTGCCTCTCGTAGTCCCAGGGAGGGAACCTGGCGGGCCATCAAGGCCAGGTCCTGGACAGTGTCACACTGTGTATGCTGTGGGGGTGGCAGGACAAGAGTGGGTGAAGCCAGAGCTCACGGGCCGGCTGGGTTCTGTGTCAGTTTTAGTCCTGCTGCTGTCTTCTGCCCATGTTCCCTATGCCCCTGCCCCTCCTGGGGCTTCCCCCTCAGCAGGGTGCAGGTGTGGAGGGGGGTGGGGCTGGCGATGCCTCAGACCCGGGTCCAGAGAGGCTGCAGCTGCCCTGGCCTCTCGCTGTCCCCTGCCAGGTGAGGTTAGCACTGAAGTCACTTCAGGTGGGGAATGAGACAGAATGCAGCTGGAAGCCAGGTGATGACTAAAAGCTAGACAGTGTCTGAAACTCCTAACGCCAGCACATCTGGGCTACACGTGAGGGAGGGACAGGAGGTGGCCGCTGAGGGTCAGATCTGGTTAACCACCATGCAGCATTAATGATTCAGATGCCCCGAGTATCCCCCAGAGCCCACTGCAGTGCCCCTCAGCTGATCTCTAAGGCAGTGGTGGCAGGAATCTTCTCGCATGCCTGGCCTCATCTCTGGAAACCGCATGAAGCCAGAGTGACATCTAAGAAGCCTTGTCTATGAGGCCCCAAGGGGGGATTAGAAGGGCGCTGGGCTCCTGGAGGGTCAGAGGGGAGCAGGGCACTGGGATCTTAGGTCAGGAGGACAGGGCGCTGGGCTTGAGAGAGGTCAGTTGGGGGCAAACAGAGCCCACATACCCCTAGAAGCTGCTTGCAGCCTCTGGACCTTGGTCACTGTGGGTTTGTGATGGGGGTGTCCAATTCGCAGGCTGCCCTGCAGATTGAGGGCATCTGGAAGAAGCCTTTGGCTGTCTGCTCCCCAATGCAGGGAACAGGGACTCTGCCTATTGGTCAGGTGTTCTTGACCCAAGGGCAAAGCAGGGGGCAAGTCTGTTGGTCTCAGCGCTAGTCCTCCTGCCCTGGGTCCTGTCCATGTCATCAGCATCATGTTGGGTTGTGTGAAGTACATGGAAGTCTGTGCCTGCTTGGCCTTGGCCATGCCTGTTGTGGCTGTTGCTATGGCTGTATCCACTGTGGCCGTGGCTGTGGCCATGCCTGCTATGGCCATGCTGTGGCTGTGCCCACAGTGGCCGTGGTTGTAGATGTGCCCACTGGGACCCTGGCCATGCCTGCTGTGCCCGTTGCGGCTGTGGTCATGCCCACTGTGGCTATGGATGTGCCTGCTATAGCTATGGCCATGACCGCTGTGGCTGTGGCCATGCCTGCTGGGGGTTCCTGAGTGTCCCATTCTCTGTCTCCCTCCCCTGCAGGAATGGCAGGGCATCTACTATGCACGGCGGAAATCTGGGGACAGCATCCAGCAGCATGTGAAGATCACCCCTGTGATTGGCCAGGGCGGGTGAGAGCAGCCCCCCAGAGAGGCTCATGGCCCTCCCTCTGAGAGCAGCCCCCCATAGGCTGAGGCTTGGGACCCTCCCTCTGAGAGCAGCCCCCCAGAGAGGCTCAGGGCCCTCCCTCTGAAACCGTGCTGGAGTGGGAAGGCGGGGAGTGGTGTGCACCAGCACCCCGTGTAGTCCGCAGTGTCCTGGCTGGGCCTTCCGCCCCATACTCCCCAGTTTCAGGTCTCAGGGGGGAATGGCTTAGGGGTGACTTAGTCTATACCAACTGCCACCTACACAGGCTCTTCCTGGGTGGTCCTTGTTTCCAGGACCCTCTGGGGCTCGAGGTCTAGATGGGTTTGGGTACGATACACCAGACTGTTTCTCTGTGCTGGAGGGGTTTTTGCAAGACAGCCTGGGCTGGCGCCATATGGCAGCGAGAAAATGGAACATCTGCTCAGAGGAAGTGCAAAGGTGTTGGCCCTGCCTTCTCCTGCTCTGCTGTAGAAAGTCCCCAGAGCCAGTCAGTCCCACCAGCCCTTAGTTGGGGCTTGTAGTCCTTCAGTGGTCCAGGCTAGGGACAAGGCAGGGCTGCGTTAGGGTCACTTTGCATAAGAGCATAAGCAGCAGTGACACTGTGACATTTGGGGAACAGGCCAGTGATGACTGGATTGAGCCAGTCCAGGCAGGCTGCCCAGGCCTCATGAGTGGCTCCACCAGGCTGTGCCTCCAGCACTTGGTGCTCTAGCCATAGGGTTCATCCTCTGTTCCTGGGAAAATTGCAGGTGAGACCCATTTGCCGTGCCCGGAGCCAACACCACTGCCCGCTAATTGCAGCTGGAGCCGAGTCCAGCTTCTTCTCGTTGTGCAGACTGGAGAAAGTGCCACCAACTGGATTCATTTCTGATGTGCTGACCCTGACTATGGGCAGTAAGCCACCAACACAGTTCTTGGGAGAATGAGCGATGTTTCCATCTTCCTCTTGGGGTGAAGCTCCATGCCGAGTGACCACTGTTCCTTTGCCCCTGCAGAATCCTGGGGAGTCAGGGCTGATGGGCAGACTCCAAAGTCATGCCCTCTGCGAGATGGCCCTCAGCCAATGTGGACAGTGAGTGACCCCTGTGTGAGGTGGCCCTGAGCCAATGTGGACAGTGAGCGACCCCTGTGCGAGGTGGCCCTGAGCCAGTGTGGACAGTGAGTGACCCCTGTGTGAGGTGGCCCTGAGCCAGTGTGGACAGTGAGTGACCCCTGTGTGAGGTGGCCCTGAGCCAGTGTAGACTTTGGCCTGTGACATGTTCCATGTGGTTCCAAGTAGGACCTTGGGCTGAGTTACAATGTCCTTTCTTGACCCTGACCTTGTAGGTGGTAGAATGGCATCGTGGAGGGCAGTCTGTGTGGCAGAGGCTGCATGTTTCCATAAAGCAGCTGCCCTGCCATCTGGCCATCCCTGGCCGTGTCGCCCTCTTCATATGGAGTGTCAGCATACCAAGGGAACAGAAGTCACTGCAGAGGAGCACAGGGCCGGGCCAGGCCATGTCTCCAGAAGCTGTGCTGTAGCCTGGGCTTGGCTCCAGGAAGCCCTGCTGGCGCCCTCGTTTGCTGCCTCTCTCACTAGTAACTGTTTTTGTTTTTAGGAAAATCCGGCATTTTGTGTCCCTCAAGAAGCTCTGTTGCACCAGTGACAACAACAAGCAGGTGTGGTCATGCGTGCGTGCTGTCCGCTTTTCACTGCCATCCCTGCCTGCTGCTCCATATCCTCCTGGTGTACAGGTGCCAGTTCATCAAACAGATGTTGGTTAAGCCTCCTGGAGTCTGTGCTGGCTGTTCTCGCACCTTGGTGTCGGTGGTGCCTGTGGCCGAGCAGGTCTCAGATCGAGGGGCTGGGAGCACCCTTCTCCCTCCACACAGGAGGGTGCTGTCATAGCTGCTTAACCGGGGCGGGGGGGGGGGGTACGTCAGCCCTGCAGTCACCACCCAGTGAGACGCGTTCCCTGGTGCCAGCCACACATGTGTGTTGTCTCCTGGCATCACGGATGTTACCAGTCTCCACATGAGGCGGCTTCTGCAGGGTTGTGGGAAGTGAGATGAGGTGACTGTGCACATAAAGACACTGTTTTTCATGAACTTGAAGCACCCTTGTGTAGGGAAACCTTTATAGGTAGTGCATGGCGGCAGTGTGCTTGCAGGTGCCAGGCCAGGCGTTTTGGCTATGGGCCGTGGCAATGTGATCAGTAGCATATTATAGCTGGCGGGGTGTGAGCTCCCACGGGCAGGGGTTCCAAGTGCTGTGCCCCAAACTTCCCCTCAGGTGAACAGGGCACTGCTGTCCAGGGTTCTTCCTAGGTATTGGGGGTCTGTGGGTTTGCTGTTCAGCAATGGAGGACACAGGTGGCTACTTTCCCGGGCATGCTGGCTTAGCAGGCTCAGTGAGGTTTGTGGGCTGGGGACCCACACTTGTTGTCCACCACACATATGCCCTGGGAGGCGTATACAGCAGCCCCTGAAGGCTGTTGGGGATTTGTTAGGTGTCAAATGGGACAAGGGACCAGTAAGAGCAGCCTGTCATGTGAGTGAAGTGTTGGTGGACACGGCTTCATCTTGGCCCAGCTGAGCTGTTACGTCAGGCCTGTGCAGCCAGCCCAGCCTGGAAGACATTCTGTTTGCTGGATCTCCCGGTCCTGGGGCTGCCACGGCGACCATCTGGACATCTGGACATGGTCCTGGTGTCTGGGTGTGCACTGGTCATCTGGGCATGGATGTGGTGTCTGCGTGGAATGGTCAGCTGGCAGGCTGCCTGCACGCATTGGGAGCTGGCCTGTGTCCCTTCTGGCAGGACACACTCCCTAAGTCTGCATGGCTAGGCTCAGGGACACTTCAGGTGTCTGTGTTGGGTGCCACACCAAGCCCTTGGCTGTTTTTCCCATATTCTATGCACTGGTCAGTCCTGACCCACCTGCCTGGACCACCTCAGGACAGTGCCTGCTAGTAGTCCCGGGATTCACGGCAGCGTCAGTGAGTCCTGGCCAGCAGGGCACTCCCCATGGTGGGAATCCACGAGTGGCCTTTCTGTGGCACATCCGCCTAAAAACTCTTGTCTGCACACATCTAGAAATTGTGCACCAGAATATGGCTTTCCGTTGTGCTTTCTGTGAATGTTCTGAGTCTGTGTAGGATGCAGCTGACCCCTGTCACACGTGGTGTCCCAGAATGTGTGGGCTCCCTGGGGTACGGGTCCCCCGTCACACGTGGTGTCGCAGAATGTGTGGGCTCCCCGGGGTACGGATCCCCCTGTTACACATGGTAGTTCATAGAATGTGTGGGATCCCCAGTGTATGGCTCCAGGCACAACTTGTTAGAACTGGGGAGGGAGAGAAGTGTGGGCCTGTGGCCTGGCCAGCAGCCGTGTGTCAGGAGGTGGGATTCTTGCATGACTGCAGCAGAGGTGGGGCGGCTCTGTCTCGCCTGTGCTGGGTGCTCAAGGGTTTGCTGGTGTGTATGGTGAAGCCACTGGATAAACACAATCATGTGGGTTTTCCTGGTTAGCTTAGTTAACATTTACAAGGAGCTGATGGGAGGAAGCCCTCTGATGTTGCAAAACCATAGGTTCCTCCCCGAAGAAGTCACAGTTGGAACAGCCAGTCTAGACAGAACACCAGAGTACCTGGTGCCCACCAAGGCCCAATGGAGACACTTGGTGTAGCCCCCCTGGGCCCTCAGCAGGGAGGGGAGAAGGGCAGGCATTGTGTGCTCAGTGGGACCTTGCGCTTGGTCCAGTGACCCAGTTAGCCAGGATGGAAAGGCGGATTGGGCTCAAGGCTCTGCATCCAGAGGGTCTGTCAGTGTCCTACCAGCCGCACCAAATGCCTGCCCCAAGTTCAGTCTGTAGTGATTGTTCGGCCAGACATCTTACACGTGTGGGGAAGTGGAAGGAGTTTGTTCGGCCACCCACATGAGAGAGCTAGTGGGAGCACCCAGTCCACCTGGCCTGGCCCCGGTTGGCGGGTGTCTGGGGAGAGGACAGGTGTCTTTATCGGGGTCTCCTCCTTGCTCCATCACTCTCCCTGTATGTTTTCTAAAGTACCCTGGTTATGGGATAAATCAGCCCAGCGTGTCACACAGATCCATCTGATTGTCATTATGTGGAGGGACTGAGCACAAGCCACGGGCAGCTGTTTGAGCCCAGCGTTGCCCAGGGCTGGACTTCCAAGGTTTGCTGGCCCGCATCCACCGTGTGGTGGACCTTGGTGGACCAGTGACTGCTGAGCCCTGGGACGTGCCTCTCCGCCCCCGAGGGGCCGCTCAGGGCTTATCCACTGGGTCCCTAACCTAGACAAGTTTAGCAACACCCCCTGTGGTTATAAATGCAGAATTGCAGTGTCCTGGTCAGGTAAAAACATAAGACATGCAGAACCCCAAAGAGTTCTTTATTGTTGGTATAATCCCTTCCTTTCCCCATTTGATTGTTTTGCATTAGTGTGACGTCATTAGTGAAACAGATTCTAAAAGTGAGAGAGGGAGGTGTGAGGCGAGACTGCCCGGGGACACGCGGCACCTGAGTTAACTCTGCAGCTGTGTCTGAACTGTCGAGGGTTGCTCTAGGCACAGGACTTAAATTCAGATCATTTCAGTGTTACAGAAAACTTGCCGACTGTCTGAGCAAATGGGCTTTCCAGCAGTGTACTTGCCAAGTTGTGTTTGTGCGTTTCTGCAGACTGGAGGTGCGGCTGGCCACCCACGGATTCAGGTCCCACCTGGGTGATGTGCCCTGCTCACTCACAGGCACAGGGACTGTCCCCTGTGTGGGTGGGGGGTGCATGGTGTCTGTGGTGTCACTGTAGCTTTTCACATTGCACCAGACATCATAACTTTTAAACTGAACAGAATGCAGCAAGCTCTGTATTTAAACCTTCCCCTCCCTCCCTCCCTCCTTCTCTCATTTCTGAACAATTTTAGATTTACAAGATTCACCGGGACTCTGGGGACAGCACGCAGGCAGGTGAGTGCTTGCTGGTCGCTGGCCAGCAGCGGGGAGCTGTGCTACTGCCACCCTGTGACGGGGAGGCCCCATGGGAGCCAGGCTGTGGGCGAGCAGGGGGTTCCGATGAGAAGCACAACGAGCCAGGGAGTCCCTGAGCCTTCTGACATCCCTGCCCACTCGCAGCTCTCCTTCTGGGATTTCTGGTCATGGCCGAGAACCCCAAACAGAACGCTCCTGGAGTCTAGGAAAGAGGTTGCTGGATTCTGGCAGGGGTGGGAATGGGGTGGTGGTGCAGCCAGCCCTGGGGTCCCCTTCCCTGGCCTGGCTGGTGATGGCCATTGGGAGTGTGGCCGGCCATGGCTCCCCACACACTCCTTGAACCCAGAGCCGGGGTGGTTCTGGGCCCGGTGGCTTCAGGGTTGGGGAGGGTCTGGTATTCTGTCCTCTAGAAGGACAAGTCAGCCCTGGAAGGGAACAGGTACCTGGTGTTGGCTCACCTGTTGGTGACATGGGGTGCCCTGCTGCTGAGACAGCTGCTGGGACATCTGTCGGGACATCTGTCCTCCTGCTCTGCCTGCAGACGGTCCCACGGTGGGCTCTGCTGAGAGCATGACTCAAGGGGCCATCCCTTAGCCATAGCTGGGGAAACTCCCTCGATCATTTCTTTCACTGATAGCTCTCAGTTCTGAGGACGATACACACAGGGGACATGTCACTCGCCTGTGCGTCATTAACAAGGCCTGTTAAGAAACTGAGGCAGTGTTGTGATGACTGAGTTCCTGACTGGAGCCAGCGGTCATCTGAGTGACCACTGTGTTGTCCATCCATAGTGAAATTACTGCTGTTTGCATCTTTATAAAGTAATATTGAAACCATATTCAAGGGCAGGAAAATCACCGGGGAGTCTGGAGGACAAACAAGCACTCCCCTAGGACAGCACGCTGACCCTCGGCGCCCTCCCACCAAGCACAGCTGGCACAGGAGGGTCGGCCAGGCTGCCATGCCCGAGATGCCATGTTAAGTGGAAATGGCAAGTGGTAACACCTCGTGTGTGTAAAGAATGCAGGTGCCAACATGTGATGGTGGGCGGCCAGCAGCAGGGACGACACAGCCTGTGCCGTCCAAGCACCAGTGACTTCTCACAGCCACCGAGAGAGAATGAACATACGTATAGGGAGCCGCACCTCACAGACAGATACCAAGACTCAGAAGCCCACGGTCACATAGTGCAGTGGTCACAGTGGACACAGTGCCTGGTGTCCACAGGCAGCTGGCCGTGCCGCATGTTCACTGGGTTCATCTGCCTGCCTTGTCTGGGCTGCCGTCCGCTTCCTCTGTCCCAGGAGTCCTTCCTAGGTGGCAGCTGTGTGGGGTAACATGCAGGACTGTCCAAGTCTGTGAAGGCTGAGCTGTCTTGGCGCTTCCCATCCCTGAGTAAGGGGCGACAGTGGGGCCACTTCCGTGACTGGGGGGCCACAGCTGCTGCTCCTGCTCCCTTCCAGGTTGGCAGGGGCCCCTGGCCACCTTCTCCCCCTGGGAACCTCATCCCCAGTCTTTCAGGGGCCCACGGTGGGTCCGACTGCCTTTCCCAAATACATTATGGTCTCTGCAGAATTCCTCAGCGTGGAGTTTCCATGCGTGACCCCCTGCCCCAGGGGTGTAAAGTGATCCCCAGACTCTGTCCCAGGGTTCAGCAGCCCCCCCGACCCGTTCCTGAGGCGACCTGTGGAGCAGAGTGCTCAGAGTCGCTGTCTGTGTTTGCATGGCCGTGGGGGGGGGGGCAGTCCCGCTGCCACAGACCAACTGCCCCCCCCCTCGCCAGAGGCCCACTCGCGGCACCGGCACCGGAGAAAGGAGTCCCTGGACGGCAAGTCCGTGTCTTCGCGGGGCAGTGACGGTGAGTCGCCCGTGCAGAAGTTGCATGGATGTGCCAAGGGGCTGCCAGCTTGGCTGCCTGGACCATGCCCACAGCCTCGTCCCACCACATGCTGCAGCAGAAGGGACCAGGGGTCAGCTCCCCAAGCCCGCGTCTGGGACCAGGGCCCTGTATGCATTGCAGATGAGGGAGGCGGGCACGGGCAAAGCAGAGGAGCTGCATGGGTCAGGCCTCAGTAGCTGGTTATGTCTGCCTATAAGAGAAAGCCAGGGCCGCTTCTGATCCTGGCAAGGAACGGATGGCGGTCTCAGGCCAGCCTGGTCCCTGCTGTCCCTGGGTCAGGGCCTCAGGGAGAAGACAGTTCAAAGGAAGGATTGGTGCTTGGGCTGGGATGACAGAGCTCAGGGTGGGGGGACATCCCTTGAGGGTGTGGTGGGGACGAGGCATGAAGGGACCATGGGTCTGAGCAGGTGCAGGCACTGCACAGAAGCTGGACCTGCTTCAGGGACCAAGGGCAGGAGGTGGGAGGAGCAAGGTGGGCTGCACAGGCTGTGTTGTGGGGGCCAGGGCTGCCGACTCAGTGACCAGGGGATGGGTCCAGGGGACACGAGGGGAGGTAGTGACTGTGGAGAAGGCGGGGATGGGGTGTGGAGCCAGGGGCTAAACGGGACATTCAGGTGAGGGACTGTAAGCCACATGGTTCTTGTAAGGAGTGTCTTAGCTGGGACCACTACCAGCTCTGGCTGTGGTGAAATTAGGAATGGAGGGTTCTGCCCTGAAGACAGAGACCCTGGCTGTGCCCAGCACCAGCCCCCTGCCCGCTGAAGACAAGGGAACCCATGGGGAGGGGAGCTGGTGGATGTCGGGATGAGACCTACAAGGCCTAGCGCCCATCTCTGAAGTGTCTCCTGTGGGCCTGCCTGCCCCAGACTATCCCCCAGGCTAGGGTGGTGGCAGCTTAGCATCGGCCTCAGAGGGGCCGTGGGGGAGGGGGAGGGCTGGACCGTGAGGATGAGGCCCGTGACCAAGCCCAGACCCCGCACCCAGACCCAGCTTCTCACCTCTCGTCCAGCCCCCAGCCTGCAGAATCGGCGCTACCCGTCCATGGCCAGGATCCACTCCATGACCATTGAGGCGCCCATCACCAAGGTGAGTGGCAGCAGTGTCGGCCCACGGGTCCTGTGGGACTGGACGCTCAGGAGATACGCATGGAGCAGGTGGATGTCTTGCTGAGGAAGCCAGCAGGGTTGCGTGGCGGAGGTGCTGGAGGCCTTACAGGGTCAGCGCGCTCCAGGAGCAGGAGCGGCTCTGCAGTGAGGGAATGGGGACTGTAGCGTGGGGGCCCAGATAATGCAGGGGGACAGGGTCGAGGCTGGCAGTCAGGACTTTTCTGGAATCCCAGACACAGTGCAAGCAGCCAGGGTGACATGCCAGGGTGAATCCAATGGGATTTGGTGAGAAGTTACCCCTTCGGGTGGGAGAGCAAGAGAGAGTGTAATGTGCCCAGCAGGAGCCCGTTTTGGGTTTGAGTATGGTGCAGTGGGACAAACCACTGCTGAGGTGGCCACATCCCAGAAGTGTGGCACCTCTGCTTCCCACTCAGCTCCCTGCTGCTGTACCTGGAAGTCCAGGTATGGCCCACAAACGGGCCCCTGGCACCCATGTGGCAGACCAAGATGCAGTGGCTGCTCCTGGCTTTGCCTGGCCCAGCCCTGACTGCTGCATTTGGGGAGTGAGCTGGCAGGTGTAAGGGGGTGTGTCGCTCTGATTTTACAGGATTCAGGGTGAAGTGTTCTCTGCTGAAGGGCAGCATCAGGGCAGCCATCTCTGGTCTGGAGTTTATTTGCTGGGAAGGGAGGGGGGCACAGCGGTGAGTCCATCTTGGGACGTGTTGGGAAGTGGTTCTGGTGGACGTATCCAGTAGTAACTGGATGTACCAGGCTGCAAGAATGAGACCAGGGCCAGGAGTGGGCATGAGGGTCCCTGGCTGTGGAGCTGTGTGTTCCTCATCTGCAAGGACAGTTGGCTAAGAGCCCAGCCCCCACTCGAGAAGAGTTATGGGGAGAGGGGAGAAAGCTGTGGCACCCAGGGAGGGGGCAGCAGCGTGTGGTGGGTTCACTTCTGGCAAAGGCACAGTGCTGGCATGGTCCCGCCGCCCGTCTCAAGTCTGTGGGCACAGGGATAGCTGGGAACCTGTGTGTGCTCGAGTTCACACCTGCCTGCTGTCCTCAGGTTATCAACATCATCAACGCAGCCCAGGAAAACAGCCCTGTGACTGTGGCAGAAGCACTGGACCGAGTGCTGGAAATCTTACGCACCACAGAACTCTACTCCCCACAGCTGGGAACCAAAGACGAAGACCCGCACACCAGCGACCTGGTCGGGGGCCTCATGACCGTGAGTGGGGGGCACACACGCAGGCCTTTGTGCCGACTTCCCACGGGCTACACTGCGGCATGGCTCCCGGCATCCTGGGTCACCTGCTACTCAGCTCTGTGCCCGAGGAGGGTGGGCTGCAGGCCGCGGGCTGCGTCTCAGCCTGATGGGTTAGGACAGGCCACAGGCCGTGTGGTTACCCTGCGTGCAGCTAACACGACCTTCTTGGTTCCAGGACGGCCTGAGACGGCTGTCGGGGAACGAGTACGTGTTCACCAAGAGTAAGTCGTCCTCTGTCAGTGGGTCCCTGCGCACTGGGCTCGGGCCAGGGCCTCCAGGCATCATGAGGGCCCCCAAGTAGGGCCCGGAATCGCCCCCCACTGCAGCATCTCTGTGGTCTACACTGCAGGCTGGGTGTCCTGGCTAGTCAGTCTGTCCTCTGAACAGTCAGAATTACACACTCGTAGAGCTCTGCAGTGTATACAGCTAGCCAACCCCAGTGAGTTGAGTCATGTTGGGAAGTCTTGAGGCAGCAGCCTTCCTGCCCTGGACATCAGGCCAGGGTCCAGGGTCACCCAGCTGCCCCCAATCCTGCTGTATACCCAGATGTGCCCCCGAGTCACGGTCACCTGGCCATGCCGATCACCATCAACGATGTGCCCCCCAGCATCGCCCAGCTACTCGACAACGAGGAAAGCTGGGACTTCAACATCTTTGAGTTGGAAGCGGTGACACATAAAAGGTTCGTGCCTGCCTGCCCAGCTGCAGGCAGCTGCCACCATACCTCTCACCTGCAGGGCTTGGTGCGGGGAGTGCGGGCCAGGAGACCCCAGGTTCTGCCCAAGGGCAGGGCTGAAGGAGTGGGAGCTGAGAATTCTTGGCCATCAGGACCCTGGCACACGGCGGGAGCACTGTGGGCTCTTGGGTGGAGGTCAGGCTGGGGAACTGGAAGGGCCTCCCGCCTGCCGCAGGACCCCAGCGCTGTGGGGCTGTGTGACTAGATGGCAGCTGCACTCCACTGAGGCGGCCGTTTGAAGGCCTTGCCCTCCTCCCTGTCAGCTTGGGGAGCACCAGGAATGTGCAGGGCTTTGGGGGGATGGAGGGAGCCTGTGACCCGGAGAAGCCCTGGAAATCACATGACTGGCCACTGGGGGCAGCTGTCCTGTCCCTGGCACCACCTCCCTTGGGGAGGACAGGGTCATACCCTGTGCACACTGAGATTTGAAATGTCAGAACCATGTCCGCAATCCCCAGGTCACCAAAGAAAACCAGTTTTCCCGTGTCTTAGGCCGCTGGTTTACTTGGGCTTGAAGGTCTTCTCCCGGTTTGGGGTCTGTGAGTTTTTGAACTGCTCTGAGACCACGCTCCGGGCCTGGCTGCAAGTGATCGAAGCCAACTACCATTCCTCCAACGCCTATCACAACTCCACACACGCCGCAGACGTCCTGCACGCCACGGCCTTCTTCCTTGGAAAGGAGCGGGTGAAGGTAGGGCTGTGCTGCCACGGCCAGGAGCCCAGCAGGGCAGCGGGCTGTCGGGGCGCTGCGAAGGCGTCCAGCAGGGCACTGGGCTGATGGGGTGCTGTGAAGGACACTGGGCAGCACTGGTGGGTGTGTGAGTGGCCACTCCACACGCTCATCAGCTCAGTGACGCGGAGGTGGCTTTGGTGATGGGGTTTGGCCATCGGGCTGTCAGGAGCCTTGCAGCATGTGTGTGTTGTCAACTACAGAGTGCGACAGTGCGAGGAGTTCCCGTCACCTCCTCTGTGGGTCACGAGGAGTGGTTTGAGCTAACCCTCCAGTCCCCGACCCCTCCTGCTCCCCGGTGGCCATGCTGTGTGGTTTTCTGCTCCCACAACCGAGGGACGACAGGCAGCACTTGTATGTGGGGCGTGTTCCACTCATCTCGACCCCCCGAGCCCTGTGGTTTGCTGTGACAGGGTTTGTTCCTGGGCACACACCGCACATGTCTGTGTCCCTCTGACGGTGGACAGCGCGGGCTACTGTCTCGGCTGATGTGGACAGTGCCGCTGGCAAACAGGGCGGTGCAGGTCAGCCTTCTTGTGGAGTCCAGCCCAGTCACAGTGCCTCTCGCCCTGTGCCGGAGCAGCGTGTGTGCGGTGTGGGTAACCGCTCCCCCCGCTGCGCTGCTCACAGGTCTCCCCTCCCGTTCCGTAGCTGGCCATGCTGCCTTCAGGGCTGCGGCTCGGCCGCCCTCAGCCCCGGCAGAGCTCACCTAGGTCTGGTCCCCAGGCAGGGTCCCTCCCAGCGCTCCCAGCGGCTAGAACAAGAGCTTGCGGTGCAGAGCCACGTGTGGTGCTGCGGGAACTGAGGGAGAAGCCAGCGCAAGTGGCTGGAGCATGAGTGCCGCGGGAGGCCTGCAGTGTGGGTGGAGGCAGCTGGCTGGGCTCCGGTGTGCCCACAGCCCCGGGCAGGAAGCCTGCCCTCTGCCTTGTGTCAGCCCGGCACCCTCGAGGGCAAGGCAGAAATCCCCACGGGGTGTGTGTGCCGACATCTGTGTGTCCGTGTACGGGCACCGGCCCTGCCCTCCCTGCCGTGGCCTCCTGTCTGGTTCCTGCCTGTCCCTCAGGCCTCAGCCGCCACGTGGTTCCCATGAAGGAAGCCGGCTGCCCCACGTGTCCAGCAGCCCCTCAGCAGGAGCAACCCAATGGCCAGCACTGTCCCACGCCAGGCCACACCTCTGGTCACCTGAGCAGGTGTCACCCCACACCTTGGCAAGACCCCAGCAGGCAGCTGTCACTCCTGGATGACAGAACACAAAACCCCATGCCCCTCGTTAGGCTGTACCCCACAGAAACCCTTAGGGTTCCTGTCGCTCAGCTCTAGGTCCGTGCCCCGTCCTCCGGTGGAAGCTCCGAGTCCCTGCTCACTGCCCAACTCCCAGGAGTCTGTCTTGTTGGGTGATGGTCTTGTGTCCGTCTCTGGGGTCCCCAGCAGCGCTGCTTCCCAAGTGACATGAGGCCTCAGGTGTCGTGTCTACTCACTGGAGGATCTGAGCAGGGACACACAGGGGCCAGGACCCACCAGCGCCACCTCAGGACAAACGAATGCCATCGGCTTGCAGAGTACACTGCTGGCTGCAGCTCACACCGCCATGCTCCCCTCAAGTGCAGGGCCCAGGCTGGGGGCTGGGGCGGGCATTCCTGGGAGATCAGAGAAGGCTCAAGGGATGACGCTGCGTGCCCAGGCCCTGCCCTTCAGGGTTAGCGGTGGGTTCTGGCAGCTCAGAGTGATGGTGTGGCCTCCCTCGCCCCAGGGAAGCCTCGACCATCTGGACGAGGTGGCCGCGCTGATTGCAGCCACCGTGCACGATGTGGACCACCCGGGCCGGACCAACTCCTTCCTGTGCAACGCAGGCAGTGAGCTGGCGGTGCTCTACAACGACACGGCCGTCCTCGAGAGCCACCACACCGCCCTGGCCTTCCAGCTCACCGTCAAGGACACCAAGTGCAACATCTTCAAGAACATCGACAGGTGCGGTGACTGGGCCCTGGCTCAGCGTTGGGGGCCTTGGGGGGTGCACCGTGGCCTGGTCCTCAGGACAGGCCCCTGTGCCCTGCGCCTCAGTGAGGCCGGGGAGTGTCCCCAAGCTACCACACATCAATACACAGACACTGATGGGAACGGCTTCCACGCTGTGTCCCAGGTGCTGATGCAAGGTGGCCACCAGGGACCAGATGGCAGTACTGGCTCATGGCCTGGAGCAGCCTGTGTGGCAGTGGCAGTGGCAGTGGGCAGGGTGCGAGGAACTCCCTTGGGCCTCAGGCCTGTTGTGAGCCGGGAGAGCAGGCCTCAGCTCCTGAGCAGATACATCCCCGCTCTTAACTCTGAGTAACATGAGCCAGGCCCGTGGCTCCAGCGGGGACAGCCAGCCGCGGTCAGGAGGAATGGGACAGTCTCCCTGGGCCGTCGCCCAGGTCCCCACAGCTCTCCTGCAGTCGGTACATTAGGCGGATGCCACAGCCCTGCCCACTCCTGCCACCCAGTGGAGTGCTCGCAGTGTGACATGGCTCCTGTTACTTAAGGTGGAAAGATTAAACCACACACTGGCTTGTGGTGACTCAGAGCCTGCAACAGCCAGGGCTGGGCCGGACTAGACCCAAGCCAGGATCTGAGCACCCTGTCCCTCCCTCCCAAGGTGGGCGGGGACCCAGGCAGTTGCCTCACCTGCGCCCCCTCAGTTGAGCCTTCACAGGGAGTGGAGCTGGGATGCAGCCAGGCCCTGTGGTGTCCCCCACTGGGAAGACCAGATGGGGCCTGCAGGTCCTGGCTGGCTGGGTGGACAGGCAAGTCCCTGGGCTCAGCTGCCGCCTGGGCTGTGCAGAGGGAGGTGGACGCAGGCGCAGTCCAGCCGGGCCAGGACGTGACAGCCCCCTCTGCTGGCGGTTTTAGGAACCATTACCGGACACTGCGTCAGGCCATTATTGACATGGTTTTGGCCACGGAGATGACAAAACACTTCGAGCATGTGAACAAATTTGTGAACAGCATTAATAAGCCACTGGCAGCAGAGGTAAGCGTCTCCCACATGGCCCATGTACCTGAGTGCACCCGTGTCCCAGAGAGCCGGCAGGGTGCCCACTCCCAGGCGGCTGAGGGGGCCAGCAGGATGGCAGTGTCCAGGGTGACTCTGAGCTGGAAGAGCAGGCCCCCACCTGTGACTCCCACGTTAAGAAACAGAGGCCCTATGAGTCGGCCTTAGGTTTTTATTCTTTAGCTTTTAGGGACACGGGACAGAAAGGCTCATGAAGCTATTGTTAAAATCAAGTTAGTGCAGTAGAGGTTTGACCCAGGGGTTATACCAGACATCAGTTGGAGCTGCAGCGCCGACTTGGGGCGCAGTGTGACCCAGCCCTGGCCACTGCTGGGACGGGCACGGTGGGCATCTGTTCAGCAGTGACCAAGGCCAGGTCTCACGAGGGTACCTGGGCTCGAGTCCTGGGTCGCAGGCATGCAGCCTTCGCTGACGGCAGCTTGAGCCCCAGGCTTTGGGTGTTGACACTGCACATGGAGAGGGCACCGCCTCCACCCAGTGACCCGCCTGCTGTCTTCCAGACAGAGGGCAGCGACTGTGAGTGCGGTCTGACTGGGAGGAACTTGCCGGAGAACCAGACCCTGATCAGGCGTATGATGATCAAGTGTGCCGACGTGGCCAACCCGTGCCGGCCGTTGGACCTGTGCATCGAGTGGGCCGGGCGCATCTCGGAGGAGTACTTCGCCCAGGTGCGTGGCCCTGGTGGGCAGCTGGCCACTCAGCCGAGGTCACTCCACGGGTCAGGGAGCACACGGAGCCTCCGTCCAGCCAGGGCTGCTGCTGGGGGCTTCGTGGCCCTCCTCTCCCCGCGGGTCTCACACTGCCCGGGGGAGGCGGCAGAGTGAGGCCTGAGGCTGGCACAGTGCCGCACAAGTCACCTCCTGGAGGCACAGGGGACTTGGGGACCACTCTGCGGGAGTGTGAAGATGGGAGACAAACAAGCTCTTGTTAGGAGAGCAGCACTGTGGGTCAGTCGAGACCCAGAAAGCAGAAGACTGCATGGGATTGGAGCCGAGGCAGCAGCCTCACCCAGGCCAGGGCTCGAGTGCACGTGGCAACAGTCCTGAGTGGGCGGGCGGGGGTGTGCCATGCCAGCTCCTGGTGGTGCGACTGCTGCCCGGGGAAGGCACACGTGCCCCCTCTGTGCCCTGAGGGCAGCTTTCCCATAGAGCATGTCTTCCTGTTCACAGCCTGGGACCCCGCACCCCATTATCACCTGCAGGGGCTCCGTGCTACTTTGCGCACTCACTGTACTCCAGGACCTCCTGCCTCACCGAGGCCACGACGTGACACCTGTTTGCTGGTGCCGCGGGGGCGGGGGGCTCCTGGGTTCCCAGTCAGGGCTGGCAGCCCCCACCCCCTGCTCCCTCAACTTCCTCAGTGCAGACGTCAGGCCAGAGCAGTGCTGGCACGTCCCAAAACAAAGCAAGGGCCCCACCCACACGGGTGCTCCGGCGAGAGGCACCGCAGGGTGACGTGTCTCTTGCAGACAGACGAGGAGAAGCGGCAGGGGCTGCCCGTGGTGATGCCAGTGTTTGACCGCAGCACCTGCAGCATCCCCAAGTCCCAGATCTCCTTCATTGACTACTTCATCACGGACATGTTTGACGCCTGGGATGGTAAGCGCTCGGGGCGCCGCCCACGGGATGGTCTGGGACCCCCTGAACTAAGCCTCCCCTCAGTCAGCCGTGAGTGGGAGGGACTGGCTCCCGCTGCAGCTGCCAATGCTACACCAGGGGCTCTCTGCGCCCCGGGCTCCCCTAACAGGGCTCCCCCCCACTGTGCCCCCAGCCTTTGCCCACCTGCCAGCGCTGATGCAGCACCTGGCCGACAACTACAAGCACTGGAAGACGCTGGACGACCTCAAGTGCAGGAGCCTGCGGCTGCCGCCTGCCAGCTGACGCCACACTGGGGACAGAGGGCCAGCGAGGACAGCAGGGCTGAGGTTAACCGTGCACCAGTTGTCTCCAAATCTTATTTTTCTAGTTATGCTCCATCAAGAAAAATGTCCTTTCGAGCAACCCTTAGTGACATACTGGGCCACCCCCTTGCCATGCTGCCATGCTGTGTGGCCTCACCGATGGGACACGGCCACAAAGCCGGGGCCTGGGCGCCCAGCCCCTCAGGAGGTTGCAGGCCGCTTGGCTGTGAGCAGCTCAGTTCTGGCGCACGAGCCCCCAGGCTGTGGCGTGTGCCATCAGTGTGAGGGTTCGTGAGCAGACAGCAGCTCAGGCTAGCACAACCTGCTTACTAGGACCCGGTTACTGGTCAGCGGGACACATGCCAGCCTTTGTGGCTAGGTGGGGTTCTGGCCGAGCTTCTGGCCCGGGTGAGAACATCCCTTGGCGGCTCCTCGCAGCCAGGGCCTGCTGTGGTGTCTTGTCACGGGGCACTCTCCAGAGGCAGCCACTGCACTGAGTGGTGTGTGAAAAGCCATGTCATTGGCACACCCTGGGGAAGCTTTTTTTTTTAAAAAAAAATGCATTTGCTGTTTAGCATTTTTATGACAATCTAAATTCTCTGGGTGTCAGTCCGTGGAGCATGCTGGGAGGGGACGGAAGTGGTCAGCCAGGCTGTTTATCACGCCATGTGCTTCGGTGATGTGGACAGACTCAGTGCAACCTGACTGGAATGCTGAAGCACAGCACCTAGTTTTATACAGCTCTTTTCACACCTTGCTGTCACCTCCGGGAGCAGCCCCGTCACAGGACATCACGGCTGGCCTCTCCCCGCTGCGCCAGCAGACAGCGTGAGTGGACACGCACGAGGCAAGGGGCTGGCACATGCAAGCATCCACTTGTCTATGCGTTTCTTCCCTGTGTCGTGCCGGCCGTCTCTACGCGACGCGCTGTAACCCTGTCCTGCCCCTGCAGCTGATGTCTCACCTCTTGGAACTAAACTTTTCGTAATTTCAAACTTTGGATTTAGTGTCCTTCATTTCCCAAGCCACACACAAACCAGGATGACAGAATCCACTACCGAGAAGCCTTCTGCTTGGGATGTCGGGTAAGTAACGGTCAGCGTCAGACGTGCCCTCAGGCGAGTCTGCGACCTGGCCCTGGGTGTCCGCTGCCCCCAACAGGCAGGTCCTCGGGGTGTTGCCCGCAGCAGTTTCTAGAAGACCCTGAAGACAAGGCACATTTCTAAATTTACTATTCCTACTGCACAGAAGCAGAGTTAGTAAGCACTGTAACACTTTCAAACTGGCTAGTTTACAGGCAAGCACGAGGGCCGGTTCCGTGAGAGTCGCCGGCCTGGTGTTAGGTGGACCCAGGCAGGAACTCCACCTCACTCAGAACTGAGGGGCCTGTCAGGAAGTGCTGGGACTCCACGCACATGTTTGCATGGAGCCTGTGTTAGGGCGCACACGGGTGCAGCTGGAGTTGCTGCATTAATTCCCTGTTACAGAGCACTTAGTCCGACTAAGGAAGCTCCTGGGGTCTCCCCCCACATGCCCTGAAGACCAGCTCGTGGACCGAGTGCTCACTGCGAGCGGAAGTCCTCCGGCTGACCCGAACCCACTACAGCTGCACAGGGAAGACAGGCCGCCGGTGCTCTGCGGAGAGCACCCCGCACGCCAAGCCACCTGCTTTACTGGCTCGCGCACTCCCCCTGCTGTTCCAGCTGGAACATGCAGTCTGTCCCTTCCAGTAGCTGCCCCGGGGGAGCCACGCAGAATTCCTACTCAGGTCATGGGAAGCAAACATTTTAATGACGAGCTGCTGCCCTCTGCTCCACCTTGGCACTCACCACAAGGACCCTCGTGCTCCGTCCCTCGGGGCCTGTGTGGTGCCACACTACAGGGCAGTGTGGGACAGGTCACCGTCCTCCTCCAACTTTTGAAATAGCTTTAAACTGCGCAGTTCAGATTCCCGCTCTCCGTTCTTCCACAAAATGATGAGGTGGTCCGCAGAGCAGGTCACTAGTCCGTGATCCTCAAAGTATAGAAACATCTAGAACGGACGTTAGAACAGGTTAGAGAAACCCTAAGAGCAGAAGCTAACAGATGTGTGTGATGCAGACCTTGGGGCCACTCCCTCTGCAGGGGTTCAGCAGCACTGCCCAACAGGGGTCGGCACGGAACAGACACTGCTCCCAGGAAATGTGTCTTGGGAAAAACCCACGCAAACTATTTTGGCACCGAAATAAACAATCCCATTTCCCAACATCCCAGGAGATTTTTACCTTTGCAGATTCCAAAGATGCACACAAGGTCTTGGGAGTGGGGGATGGCCTGTTTGCACCAGAGGACACTGCCCACCCTCCACCCTGCAGCGTGGAAGCCAAGCAGAACGGGGCCAGCCCCGTCTCGTACTGACCCCCACAGGGTTCTGGAAGCACTGCCTGGCCCGACGCCTGGCTCACGAGGTAGCAGAACACTCCCACCCCGGGGCGCCACTGACTCCTCTCAGCTGCCCCGGCTGTCCCCGACCCTACAGGCCTGCTGGCCACGAGCAGAGGAAGCCATACCTCCACGGAGGACGAGTGTCCGATGAGATCGCCAATGAGCTCCAGGGAACAGGAAGTGGTAACTTCTTGCTGCTTTTTAACAGGCTGGCTGGCTTGTTTATTCACTCTTCCAAATCCCCACATGTTAAAAAAGCCTATGAAAATATAATCATTGTGGTCATTTCCAAAAGTACTGTGGTTCCTCTAGTGGAACCCGCACCAGTACAACCTGCTTCTGTCCAGGGCTGAGGGGGAGGCACCAGCCAGGCACATTCCCTCATCTCGAGCTTGTCCATTCACCACAGATGCAGAAATCTTAACAGAAAAGCCCTGGGCCACCAAGGGGAGGCGTGCAAGCAGCAGCCCCAGGCCCCGGCACGTGCCTTCCCGGCACAGGGGGGTACCTAACTCGTGTCAGGAGCGTCCCAAGGCTGTGATACAGCAGAGTGCCCGTAGCCGGGACTTGGTGGGTACTTGGGGGACAATGCCACCCCTGGAATCTGCGGTGCACTTCCTGGTGTGACCTTGCTGTTTGGAGGGGGAACTCTAACCTGCTCCCTATGGAAGGTCCTGCAGCGCCTGGGTCGCCTCATTACCCACCCTCCTCTGCCTTTTGTCTTGGGGCGGACGAGGTGCCAGCTCGGCCTCCCGGGGGAGACAGACCTGTGGGCACGGGGTCGGCTGTGAGCTGCTGTCTTTCTCGTAACTCCCAGATGCGCACACTGCCATCTTCTGAGCAGGAGAGTAACTGCCTGTGGGGACAGGGGAGCAGCCACGTGCAACAGTGAGGGGCCAGGGCGGTGGGGAGCCCCCAGGGCGCTGGCATGGTGCACACCAACTGCTAACACCTGCCCGCTGGGCCAGTGTGGGGACATGGGCTGTGACGGACGGCCTTCCCTGCCCTCGCCCACTGAGCTCCTCTCGGCTCAGACAAGGGCTCTCCCTTGGGGTCTGGGTTCACACAGTGTAACATGGTCAGGGCTGCATTCTTGTACCTTGTCCTGGGCAAATCAACCCAGTGTTAAATTCTGACAATAAACATCACGTAGCATACTGGCCAAACCCACAGGTAACTGAGCCACCCGAGAAGGGACCATGAGTGGGCCGTCGCACCTGTTGGGGAGCTTGGCGATGTGCAGGACACTGGAGTCGTGAGCAGCCTTGTGGCAGGCGGTGAGCCGCTTCGTGGGAAGGTTGTACACGTACAGCCCCCGGCCAACGGCAGCGAACACGTTCTGGGGAGGGAGGTGTGCTACAGCAACGCTGGCTGGGGGCCTCGTGGGACTCTCCGATGTCCCTGTCCACCCAGGGGACACACTGCCACACAGCGCCCAGCATCGCCGGCCCCTCCCTCTGGACAGCTTGAAACAGCCGCCCCCAGTGGCGGTCTGGGCGGAAGTGGCCAGGCTGTACCCTGGGCTTCTGCCCACACAGGACTGTGTCCTGCAAAAATGACCTCACTACTTTCTGGCTAAAATGTGAGCAAAATGATGCACACTCCACACGCTGAGTGAGACCTTCCTGTGAACAGCCGGCCCACTCTGGGCCCTCTGTGCTCGCAGAGGTGGCACCAGAATCCCCTGTCCCCTCCTCGGGACCAGGGCTCCATGCCTCCCCACCCGCAACCACACCAGCCGCTTGGAAGGCTGTTCAGCAAGCTCCTCAACTTGGGACGCCCCACCTCAGCAGGTGCCCCTTGAGGCAGGCTCTTCAAGCCCCTACTCTGGTCTCCTGTTCCACCAGTGACCCTGGGCCAGCGCGCCCCTCAGGCCCAGATCCAGAGGATGCTTCTAACATCTGAGTCCCACACACTAGGAACCAGGCCTGGCACCCTGCACTTGGCACCCGTCCACCCGGGGCTAGACCGAAGGCTGAGGATCTGAGTTTGCTGACACACTCGGCTTTACCTCCTCATCACACGTGAAATGATGAATGGAAATGTCGTTTGGTTTCTGACAGAGTTTGATTTCTTGCTGGGTGTCCTGCTGTGGAGATGGGTCCCAGAAGTTCCACTCAGAAGCCTGCATGGTCCAGTCCAGGGCACTCCAGACGATCAGCTCTCCGATGTGGGAGCCGGAGACAAAGCTAGCATCTAGGAAAGGCCACACAGCTCCTGAGCGATTGTGTCCCAGGCTGCAGCAGCAGACCAATGCGCAGCCAGGGGGCAGAGGGACACACTCCAACTGCACACACACCTCCCCCAGGGGTTTCTCTCTCTCACACATACCTTGAGCATTCTGAGTACATTAGATACAACAACTAGGAAGTTTACAATAAATGGACTAGTGAGCTTTAAGTAGACGCATGCAGGGTGAGGGCCGGGAAGACCGAGGGTGTGTTCCCATGAACATGGAGCAGGGAGGAGCTAGGGAGATGGGCTGAGGGGTCCCCAGGCAGCATCTGCGTGGGGGAGAGCTGAGGAAGATGTAAAACGCCAAAAGGGGCTCATGAGGCTTGGTCTGTAAGGGGTTCCCACAGATTAGGAAGGAGATAACTTCTCCAACAGAGCAACAGGCGAAGGTCCTGACAGGCCAAAGGGCACAGAGCCTCTCGCTGTGAGACGCCTTCGGCCCTAACTGCAAGCAGATGTCACACACACGCGCCCGTGGCAAGTGGGCAAAGCTGCAACGCTGGCAGAAATACAACCAGCACACAGATACTCAGCTGGTGTTCTGGAATAAACTGGAACACCTTTTCCTCAAGACTTTAACTTGGTAATATGTGTGAAAACCTTAAACCTACTGATTCAACAATTGCGCTTTTAGAAAATGTACAAGATTGCTATATATCATCTTAGAAATCTTAAGATAATTGGATACTTAATTGGTGACTAAATGAATAACAATGCCAGCACTAAACATTATGTTCTAAACCTAATGCTATTTTGCAGTCAAGATTGTTGACACCCTGTTACAATCAACAGTGAAACGCACATGCGCACCCCTCTCCCGTGCGGTGCTGGCTGACAGGACGGTCTGACTTACAGGCTGCACCCTCCACCTCCTCATTCTTGTGCAACTTGGAAACCTTTAGGAAGGTGAGGTTAATGGGCCGACACTTTACGCATGATGCACAACTACTAGATTAGAAATGGTCTTAGGTCTCCCCAAGAAACCGTTGAACTTATCTGGACAATAAGATGCTGGACTTTATGCTTGGTAGATACTTGCAATGAAAGAATTTCAACTGAATTTGAACTGTGGTAAAGCAACAAGGTGGAGGAATCCACGGGGGGATGGGGTGGGAAATACCAGTGCCTATAAAATTGTGTCACATAATGCAATGTAATCAATAAAAATAGAAATGATCTTAAAGAATGTTGATTAATTTTAACACACAATGAGGGTAAGACAGATTATGAATCTGGCGCAGTGCAGCACAGGAAACATTTAATCTTTACCTGGGGTTCTTCACACACCAAATTAGAACAATTATACTAACCAAAACCAAATGCACACTCCTTGAAAAAGACGGAGTGGGTGCTGAGCCACCTCTTGCGGTGCACACCACCATCCCAGATGGGCGTGGGTTTGAGATCGGGTGTCCACATGTGACCGGCTCGCAGCTAGCAGCCCGCCCCCAGGGAGGAGACCCAGACAGGCTGCTGCCTGCTCTCAGCCTGGCCCAGCCCCAGCACTTGCAGCCATCTGGGGAGGGGCCCGACGGATGGAAGTCCTCCCTCTGTCGCCTACTCTCTGGTTAACAGTTCTGCCTTTCAAGTAAATGATCTTAAAAGAAGAATGGGGGGGGGGATCCCCTCTTGGGACATCCCCCGGTCAGAGCCCCTGGCTTGTTCCCCCCTCGGGGTCCCTGAAACATCCACACGGTAGACCCAGCTGGCATGCTGGGATCCTGGCCTGGGAACATCCAATCCCAGCTGTTGCAGGCATTTGTAGAATAAACCAGCAGTTGGAAAATGGAGCATTTTTAAAATTTTTAACTAAATAAGTAAGACATAACACAGTCTTTTTGAGTCTCTGATATTATGTTGAACCCCTGCTGTGATATCCCATATCAGTGCTACTAAAATATTCTGTTCTTTACAATGTAAGAATACACTGATGACATAGCAAGTTAAGCCACCATCTATCATGCTGGCGTCCCAGGTGCTCCACTTCCAATCCAGCTCCCTGCTAACGCACAAGAGAAGGCAGCAGAGGGCGGCCCACGCCTCAGCCCCTGCACTCAGGGGGAGAGTCAGTTAAGTCCGTGCCCCCTGGCTTCAGCCTGGTGCATACTCGGCCTTTACAGACACTTGGGGAGTGGACCAGAGATAAGACCTCCCCCACAACTCTTTCAAATAAATAAGCTTTTAAAAAAAGAATATACCCTTTTGTGATTTGTTTCTTTTATAAAATAATCCAGCAAAACAGAAATCCCTGAGAACCAGATGAACTCTGTTAGAAAGGCCCAGTGCCACCCCCTACTGAGGCAGAGGCCGCCCTGGAGCCCACCGTGCTGCCTTCTCCACAAGCTCACTTCCCTGCATAACTGCCAGCCTGCAGCCTTCTCCCGCCCCTTCCCCGAGCAGCCCCTACTGCAGGTGCAGTGCACTGAGGCCACGCAGCAGCGCCTCCCGCAGGCCTCTGGCTCCCAGACGCTGTGCCTACATTCAGCCCAGTCCGAGCAGCACATCTCTGTGCCAGTGACCGACAGGCCCTAACGCCACACCAGCCCAGCTCCATAACGTGGTGTTAGTGAGGCCATCTCCCCTGGCACCTGCTGTTAGCACCACAGAGGACACAACAAAAAACAGCAGTGTCCAGAGGCAGAGTCAGCAGGGTGACCTCACCCAGCCCCGAGCCTTCCCGAGGGTTCTGGTGCACTTCCAGGGGTGCCCCGGGCCACCTTGGGGACATGCACCTTCCCTAAAAGGACCACCCCAGTCATTGGCCACATGCTGCGCTGGTGCCTGGGGAAGGCAGAGGAGCAGAGCCCCAAGTGAGGCAGGAAATGGCAGCATGGCAACTGTGGCTGTGCACACATGCAGCCATTTGGCAAAGCTTCTCCAATTGTGCCAGCCAACCTGACCTCCAGTGAGGTCTAAAAACCAGGTCCTACCCACCCAGACTGCCATCTTACAGCCACCAAGTCACAGGATGCAGAGTGCCCTGTACCTTCACTGCTTGGTTTCCCATTTAAGAATTTGGCAAAGATGGCTAAAGTCCTCGCCTCACATGAGCTCGGATCCCATATGGGCGCCAGTTCATATCCCGGCGGCTCCACTTCCCATCCAGCTCCCTGCTTGTGGCCTGGGAAAGCAGTGGAGGACAGCCCAAAGCCTTGGGACCCTGCACCCGTGTGGAGAAGCTTTTGGCTCTGGCTTCGGATTGGCTAAGCTCCAGCCGTTGTGGCCACTTGGGGAATGAATCATCAGACAGAAGATCTTGTCTCTCCTCTCTGTATATCTGACTTTCCAATAAAAATTAAAAATAAATCTTTAAAAAATGTTTTAAAAGAATCTGGCAGCGAAACATGTGAAGAAAACATTGTTTACATGTTAGAAGCTTCCTTGCACATCCCATTAGCAAAATGAAACCACTGAGGTTGGGGCTGGCTCACCCTCCCTCCCTCCGCGTCCCGTGCCCCCTTGCCCCTGCAGCCTGGGGACTGGGCCTTACGGCCTGCTGTCACAGACAGGACGCTGGTGCGCCCAGCATGCAGCAGACAGACCCCGCAGGGCGCAGTGAGGGCACGGCTGCTGTCACTCCTGCCCCTCAGGCCGACAGGACGTCCCAGGTACAGAAAGGACACTTGTGGCATCCATGCACGCCGTGTCCCCGTCTCCACTTACACAGAGCGCCCGTGAGCCACAGCCAGCCTGGGGGCTCTCAGCTTCCTGCCATCCCACAGCAGGTCACCACCAAGATCCTGCTCATCTGACAGCTCTGACAACACACACACTCACTGACACGCAGGTCAAACAGCTACATGCCGAGACCAGGGGCTTACAATCCTGCCCTGACATCTGATGTCACTCACCGAAGTAACTTACAGAGCAGACGCGGCCCATGCAAGCCCAAACCCCCACTGCAGGTGACACCTTCTGGGGTCAGCTGGGCTTCGGGGCTGCGACCACAGCTACTCAGGCTGGAATCTTGCTCATTTTTCTATGGAACTGCTGCACTGAACTGCATCATGTGGACAGTGAGACAAAAGGGCGTAACCTCCCAATCACTCTAAAGAAAAGGAACTTGCAAACAGCTGCCCAAACTGATGGAACGCTACAAGGCCACGAAGTGTCCCACAGCCACACCAAGGGGCCTGCGGACCCGGATCTCCTGTCCCCAAGCCTCCACACGACTCCACCCTCTTCAGGTCTCCCCCCTCAGACCTGCCAGCCCAGGAACTCCCTAGATCCACAGCTGCAGAAAGGGACCATGACAAACCCTGCTCGTCGAAAGCCTCTAGGATTTTATTAGTATTTACTTGAAAGGCAAAGACACAGAGTTCTCTTCTGTGAGTTCACTCCTTCCCAAGGCTGCAGTCGCTGAGGCTGGGCCAGGAACTGGAACTCCACTCCTGTTCCCACAGGGGACAGGACCCTCCACCTCCCAGGGTGCACGTGAAGAGCTGGAGATGGGCAAAGCTGTGAGCTGAGCCCAGGCGCTGCCGTCCGTGAGGCAGGGACTCCAACAGCATCTTACCCACAGGGTTGTACACCTGCTCCTAAAGCTGTCTCCATGACAGTGACTCTAGAACCCGGGTGCAAGGCACAAGGTCAGAAAGGTGGTGCTAGCACACACAAACACACACACGATATGAAAATACACATGAGCTTACCGTTGACACTGACCAAGGACAGAATGTTATCCTGGTGCCCATGAAGGCGCTTGGCTTCAGTAATTCCCCACTCCTGGGATCCTTCCGAGGGCACCACCAACCTGAAAATGACTGGATCCAACACACATCTTCACGACATGCTCTAAGGGGGACAGACACGCTGTTTCTCAACAAGCAAGCAGTTCTTCCTTCTTTTGGGGGGAGGTAGACGAAGGGACAGACAGTAGCTATGTTCTTTTTATTATCATCTGCCAGACCAGAGTTGTACACATTTAGCACAGTGTGAAAATTTGGTATTTGTATTCACAAGCAAAAATGACCTACCACACCGAAAGTCCACCTGCCAAATGTCTTCCTCTGACCCCGTAGTGCCAGTGTGTGTCCCCGCAACCCACTTTCCCGACCTCCTTCAGACGTGATGCTGCTGCCCTCTCCCCGACGGGCCCCCGCACCCTGCGTCAGCTGCTGCCTTCACCAAAACAGTCACACTTCTCTTGGACTCAGGAAAGACATGAGCACCTGCTCTGCTGGTCAACTCTCCGTGGCACCTGCACCTCCTCCGAGTCAGGAGCTCCCAGGAGAGACATGCCTTATCAATTCGGCTGGCTTTGCACTTCACTGCTTTATGCTCATTATCTGACGACACCAACTCGATTCTACTTTATTAGAGTGACCACTAACTTCACTGAAGATAAGGCACTTTACAGGCTGCAGAATGAGAGCATCAAACAATAAATTTCTGAAACGCCAAGTTTTTCATATTACATATTTTTCCATGAAGTATCTGAAGATCCCACAGAAAATGCAAACACAAATCAACAGAACTTGAACAAACATTTAATGAGCATGCACCATGTTCTACAACCTCAAGAGTTCTAGACACCTCAAATATAAATGCTAGCAAAGCCAGCCCCTGCCTTGGCAAGTGCAAGTTCACGGCCCGCAGTAGGAATGAGACCAAGCGGTGGGTGCTGAGATCTGAGGGGGCTGACCCCCAGAGCCGTCAAAGTCCACAGACACCACAACTCCCCCTCTGCAAGCGCTAAGCCACCACCATGTCTCACTTCCTTCCGGAAAAGAGGCAACGTTGTGTTTCTCTCTGTAACTGGCAATATTCTATGAGCTGATGAACCTGAGCAAAGCCATTAAATCCTGACAGCCATTCACATGGACACTGTGCTTGTCAAACACAAAAGAGAACAATTTATGAGATCTATGCTAGTCGGAATACTACCAAGGGATTCTTGGGTTGGGATTTTAGAATGAGCAGCAAATCCTGTCTGAACACACTGCGAACGCAGAGAGGAACCATCAACACCTCGAGATGCTTCCCTCGGCTTCGGCTCAGCGATCCCCGAGACCAGGACGGGGCAGGGCAGACAGGCCTCGCCAAAGCTCCTTAGTCTTTCCAGCACGCACATACAGGTCAAGTTCAACAATTAAAGAGAAAGTGAAAAACATACTCACTCAGCTCTTTGCCAGCTGCTGCTACAACACAGTTCTTAGGTATTTCAGCCAAAGCAGTGATCCCTTCAAAAACATAAAGCAAATTATTTTCTGCCATTACAAATGCACTGCTTCATGTCAACCACTTTTTTTTTTTAATAAAATTTATTTTGACATTCTTTACATACTTAGTTAGAGTAAGAAGGTTCAAGGGCTACAGGAAAGTGGATAATACTAGTATGTTTTCCATATTGTTACCTTCATGTTTAAAGGGGGGTATTAAGGGAGAAGGCCCACCCAATTTCCTACCCTCCCCAGGTCCCGGATGTAGGGCATGCTCTGAGGTTCTTGCTCAAGTGGTTTTGATATTGCCACAGTTATGAATCTCTGTCAATCTTGCCACTCCAAGCACTATGAGGTCTTTGAAAAATCCACTGATTGACATAGTCCATCATAGCTGTCAACCACTTTCCATATGGAAACCAGGAACAGTACAGCATAAACCCCTGCAAGTACACAACCTCACTTGCTCACAAACACAAAATGTGTCTGTGGAAGGCGGCTTGGGAGAATTACTGACCCATTAAAGCTAGGACATCATGCTCCTAGAGTGTTTCCACTGTTATCTGTTCAGTCAGACCTCTATGCTGTCATGGAGCAGAACTTGTCCTACAACCCCCAGACCTGGAAACATTGGAAAGGAACGGGTCTGCACTGTGATGGAAGCCCCCACCCTGGAATGCTGGCTCAGCTCTCAGCCTCTTCTCTCGCTCTGAGAAAGGTGGCAGAAGATGGATCACGCTGTTGAGTCGCTGTCACACACACGGGGCACCAGGATGGAGCTCCTGGCCCTCAGGGCTTGTCGGCTGCACCGTCGCAGCTTCTGGCAAGTGACCCAGTGAACAGCAGCTGGCTGGCTCTCTCTCCTGCACAGCCTGTAACAGAGTGCTGCTTCACATCCGGGCCACTCTGCTCCTGGCCCAGCGTCCTGCCGGTGCCTGCTGGGCCAGCCGCAGACGACCGAGTTCTCAGAACATGGTCCAACACTGAGGCAAACACTGAATTCTAAACATTTTAAACCTAGGGTCTTAGTAGGGTATGGCCACTCCCCCAATTTACAGAGTTAATCCTCAGCAAGGAGTTGATACACAGAAGACAAAACTGAGGAAGCGCAAAGTTTTGGAGAGATACAGATCAGAAACTGCTGGCATCAGAGACACAAGTAGGGCTTTGATCCATGACACCATGGCTAGCCCAGCCAGGGATGCTCCTGTGTGACAGTGACACACCCCCTGCCTGCAGGCCAGGATCCCCCAACATAACTCCTGATGTCCTGGGAACCTCCACGGTCACAGCATCCTTCTGGCTGCTGAGACAACTGGAGGCTGGCAGCCCAGAGGCAGTCACGACACAGACGAGAGCTAAGGCCACGCTGAGCTGTTGCCCTGGCAGCCAGCCAGCAGCCTGGGAGGGGCGGGGACCGGAGATCCAGCCCCTCACCAGTGGTCAGTGCCCATCTCTGCCTCCACCGCACCCAAAGTACAGGGTTCAGAGAGTGTGTGGGCAGGAAAACACGTGGTGGTTCTGGGGAGAGCCTGCCATCTGCCACCTGTTCCCACAGGCTGGGGGTGGCATCCCCTGGAGATCTTAGAGCCATTCCAGCCTCAGTGGAACCAAAGGAGAATATGCTGGGAACTGACAGTCAGTTACCAAGCACAGGGCAAACCACCCGGGTCTAAGTGGCACTGCACGGGGTGGGACCTGCTGCTGGCTCCAGGGGGTGGCAGCCCCTGCCCTGCTTGCCCAGTGGGTAAGACCAGGGTGTGCTGCTGCACTGGAGCACAGGCGATGTGGAGGTGTGGCCTGCTCTTCCTCTACCAAAAGAGCCAGTCAGCAGCCCAGGGAGCGGTCCTCACAAGGCAAACTTAGTAAAAAATGTACTGACAAAATCCCTCATGATCTCGATCCGTCGGGTTGGACACTCTACCACATTTATCTGAATGCAAAATTCCGCACTTCTTCCCACAGCTGAGTCATGGGATGGCTTCAGATAATCTTAACTTCAAAATAGGGGGTTGGCATTTTAAAACCACCATTCATTAGCAAAAAGCTGTTTCATTAATTTTTTTCAACATGATATATATGTAACTTGAAACATATACAAAGAGTCTTCAAAAACTTGTGGAAAATAGAGGCTATTTTGGTATAAAATTTTCAGTCCATCACAGTTCTTTGTTAACACCTGTTCCATGACCTTCTGCAGTCCCTGACCTGCAAATCTGGAGAAGGCTTGCCATTCGCTCCAGCCCGACAGGCTCTGCAGGGGCTTTCTGCCTGCAAGTCTTACTCCCAACAGTGGGGTTTGCATTTTTCCCACACAAGAAGAGCTGCTCTGATCATGGCCGGCCCCCAGCCTCAGCCAAGCCCTAGGCTGATGGCCTAAGCAGGTAGGAATGCTCCTCCAGTGATGAGCAGCAAATCCCTAGGGGGGCTCCCGGAGGTCCCAGGCACTGCGCCCCCACGGCAGTTCTTAGGAAGGCTGCGAGTGAGACAAGCAGTTTGGGCAGTCTGTGCCTGCCTGTTTGTCCTCCACCAGCCTCTAGGGGTGCCACACCAGAGCCAAGGCACAAGCTAGCTGCTTATGGCCATCTCGCTACCACAACAAAAAGCTAGGTAACACAAGAATAAAGCAGAGATGTGAAAATGAGTAACAGAAGAATTCTCAATGCATGTTCGTGGAATTATTTGTGCGTCAAAATACCAAACAGCTAACAACCCAGGGGTGGCAGGTCTGTGCTCAGGCCTCAGCACACGGCCTGCCTGGCCGTGCTCATCCCACTGCCCGCAGTGACCAGGACTGCCCGTGCTTCTGCAAGCTCATCAGAGCGTTAACTGTGACGCCATCTGGAAAGGCAAAGGCAGCAGCCGCTCCCTGAGGGCCCACCCAGGCTGCCAGCATCGCCCAAGGGACCTGGGCACTAGGGACTCCCAGACAACTCGCAGAAGGAAGGCCGCAGTTACACGTAGTTCTTCCAGCAACACACACACGATTCCTTCTCACCCCAATTTCTACATTTTACTGCATAGCTACTAACAGTTCATGGAATAAAGTTCATCGATAATCCCAGAAAAGCAGAAGAAAAGAGGAAAATGGGTGTGATCGAAGGAGCTGTCATGGAGCAGTAAGAAGCCAAAACCTGGGGCCAACGTGCGCTGAGGAGCTGAGAATCCTGGCAAGGCACTGCTGATTTCCCTGCCAGCTCGTCACTTTGTATCTTGAGACAAACTATCTCCAGGGATGAACCAGACATTTAATCCAGAGGGCTTCTGCCCATTCCCTAAATGCAGAGATGGGAGCCACCACCTGCCGACCCCCAGGTGTGCATCAAGAGGCTCGACGAGGCAGCACAGCCAAGACCCACACCCAAGTACCCTCTAGGGGACAAGGCTCCAAGCAGAACCTTCTCAGCTGTGCCAGACTCCCAGACTCTGTGCTGTCTCTAAAATACCAACATGCAGCTAGCATCCTGTCTGGGGTGACCACTGGTTTGTTTTCTTAGAAACAGAAATGACGTATTACGTGACTTCCAGGGTCACTCACACTGAAGTCTCCTCTTTCACATCTTGGTATTTTTAACCTGATAGGCTTAACTCTCATTCTTCACCATCTTCGTGTCCGTGTGACTGACAGAGTGCTAGCAGAGAGCTGAGACGACAGGACTTTGTAGTTCTCACACTTTTATGAAACAAACCAGCTGACGGTGAGGCCAGTCCCAGACACTGACACGAGTCCAGTGACCCACAGAGCAGGTGTTCCTGGGAGCCACAGGGATCTACTGCAGTCAGTATGCTTGCTGCCCCTCACAACCCGGACAGCAGGCTCGCCTCACTGTACCCAGCACTTGCCTGAGCCAGCATGGCGGGGGAGGAGAGCCTGGAGTCTCATGGAGGAACCCGCGCCACCCAGCCTGTCAGTCCCGGCTACCTGCATCCGAGAGCTGGGCGGCCTTGCACAGGAGATCCAACTTCCGGCTCCACACACACAGCTCATCTCCACCAGACAGCCAGACGCCCAGCCGTGGGAGAACCATCAAACACTGCAAAGCAGAAGGGACAGGGATACCAGGCTGAAAAACACTTCCTGTCCAGAGAACTGGAAACCCGTCCCCAGTTCTGGAAACCAGCCCTCCAACAAAGGGGGCTTGTCTGTGCGATGCTTTCTCTGCATATATTGGAATGATGATGTAATTCTGGCTTTGCATTCTCACTATGGTATATTTCACTGATTAATATTCTGATGTTAAACTTAGTTCATTTTCCTGCATAAACCACATTTGATCTGTGCAAGTAATTTTTTGAAAATAAGTTTAATTGTTTTTAACGTGAAAGGCAGAAACAGATGCAGCCCCCCTCACCAGTGACCAGAGCCTGCAACACTGATGACACCAGGCTTTGGTGAGGGACATATACTCCTGCACACAGCTCCCTAAGCCATGATCCACCATGACCCAGGGCGAGTGGGCATGGAACGGGGGCTCAAAACGAGGATTCCCATGGCAGCTTCTTAACTTGAAGGCCAAGCATCCCTGGCCTGAGGTTTCCAATCAATAGGCAGGCAGACAGAGTGAGCGCTTATCTGCTTTTTTTAAAAAGATTTATTTTTTATTTTTTAATTAGAAAGTCAGATATACAGAGGAGGAAAGACAGAGAGGAAGATTTTCCTTCTGATACTTCACTCCCCAAACAGCCACCACAGCTGGTGCTGTGCCTATCCAAAGTCAGAAGCCAGGGGCCTCCTCCAGGTTTTCTATGCAGGCGCAGGGTCCCAAGGCTTTGGGCTGTCCTTCACTGCTTTCCTAGGCCACAAGCAGGGAGCTGGATGGGAAATGGGGCTGCCGGGATTAGAACCGGTGAGCTTCATGACACATGCAAGGTGAGGACTTCAGTGACTGGGCCACCGCGTGGGCCCTCATCTGCTCTACTTCCCAAATCCCTCTAACAACTGGAGCTGGGTGGGACCCAAACACTGCCCTGACAGGCAGCCAGAGCCAGGCTGTCCAGTGTGGACGGTTACAGGGTTACATGAGCATGATGAAATTAGAGCTAAACAACAATCAGAATCAGGATGACAAGAGAAACTCTGCAAAGAGGAGTCTGAGTTAAAAGGAGCAGAAAAGATGGGCAGATGACAGAGGAAAAGAATAAAGCAGGGCGACAAAGAGAGAGAAAAAGAGAGGGAGGGAGGGGAAATAGAGAAGGAAGAGGGAGAGAGTAGCCTGGACAGAGCTGTCTTCAAGGCCAGCAAGTGCTGCAGCGCCCTGAGCCATCTCGGCCCTGAGTGCGGGCGCAGACCCGGCTCCCTGCCAACACATCCTGGAAGGGAGCAGAGGACGGTCCAAGCGCTTGGGCCCCTGCACCCACTCAGAAGACCCAGATGAAGCCCCAGGCTTAGCGTAGGCCCTCCATTTCGGCCATCTAGAGAGTGAAGCAGCAGATGGAAGCTCTGGGCATCCCTTTTTCTCTTTGGAATTTTGCCTTTATATAAATATATATATATATAATATATACACACACACATACACAGAGATATAATACACATATACAGATATATAATACACACACAGATACATAATACACAGCACTTACATATGTAAAATATACGTATATACAGTTAGCAAGAAAGGAAACATCCCACTGGTCAATACATTTTCCCAAAACTGACAATTAAAAAGCTTGGGTAGGGCCCGGCGGCGTGGCCTAGTGGCTAAGGTCCTCGCCTTGAACGCACCAGGATCTCATAAGGGCGCCAATTCTAATCCCGGCAGCTCCGCTTCCCATCCAGCTCCCTGCCTGTGGCCCGGGAAGGCAGTCGAGGACGGCCCAAAGCTTTAAGACCCTGCATCCCCATGGGAGACCCCAAAGAGGCTCCTGGCTTCAGATCGGCATAGCATCGGCTGTTGCGCTCACTTGGGGAGTGAATCATCAGACAATAGATCTTCCTCTCTGTCTCTCCTCTCTGTATATCTGACTTTCCAATAAAAATAAATAAATCTTAAAAAAAAAAAAAGCTTGGGTAAAACATAAGCCATCTCCCAGACGCACAGCCGCACACACACGCCCATGGAACAGCTCAACGACCAGGACCCACCTTTCTCCTCCCGTGCTTTGGTAATCAGCCCCTGACTTAACTTCCAATGGAAACATGGAGCACCGAGCACACACACCCCACCATCTACTCCCACAAGAATCCCACGACTAGAGGTCTAGAAAACAAAGTGGAAAAACTACAACACAAACTTCATTCAGTATTTAATCCAATCACTTTGTCTCAGACAAAACCACTCACTTGCTCTTGACTTTACCTTCACAGTGGACTGGAAATATGACAGTCTCTCCACCAGTCTGCCAGTGTCACTGTCCCAGACCTAAGGTGATGTTAAGAAATAATTTCCATATGGAATTCTAAAATGCTGACTATGATGAAACTTTTCTAATTGACAAATCACAAATATCAAGTATTTACTTATGAGATTTAAATAAAAGTTAGCATTTATACTACCACACAAATTAATTCACACATTGAGTTGTCACCTTAGCAGAGCAAGCTATGATTTAGAATAAGTCCCTGAAGTATTGAATGCACATGAAGACTGCAACTGCTGGGCCCAGGGCAACGGCCCACCGGCTAAATCCCACAGGGGACCCCTTCTCCTGACCCCAACCACCAGGAAATCATGGCTCTGTGTGCCTCTTCCACCTCTAGATGAGGATATTTACCTCCAAGGGCTAGTTTACAGATTAACGGGTTCATACGCGTTAAACACCTGGAACAATGTCCGACACTCACAGGCATGTTATAACTAGGCCTTTTCCACTGCCACACCTGAACTTTTGGCTGAAACGATGGCCAAAGGAAAGTAATTGTGCTTTTTAAAAACTGTTTACTGGGTCCCTGTGGCGTGGCCTAGCGGCTAAAGTCTTCGCTTTGAACATGCTGGGATCCCATATGGGCGCCAGTTCTAATCCCAGCAGCCCCATTTCCCATCCAGCTCCCTGCTTGTGGCCTGGGAAAGCAGTCGAGGACGCCCCAAAGCCTTGGGACCCTGTGCCCTGCACCCGTGTGGAAGACCTGGAAGAAGTTCCTGGCTCCTGGCTCCGGATTGGCGCAGCAGCAGCCGTTGTACTCACTTGGGGAGTCAATCATCGGACAGAAGATCTTTCTCTCTGTCTCTCCTCCTTTCTATGTATCTGACTTTCCAATAAAAATAAATCTAAAAAAAAAAAAAACTTTACTGAATGCTGGCATAAACACTGCACAGCTAGCAGGTCACCCTTCTGCTGGACTCAGATACACAAAGGCTCTTACAGGCAGGAGCCAGGAAGTTTCTTTGCTGGAAAAAGCAACAAAATTTCAGTTATTCTCCAACTCAGCTGGTTTTCCTAAATTTAAAGCAAATATGCATAATGACTACATGAGTTGGAGAGAGCAGCTCTGCTCAGTGGGTTCCCAGCTGCCCAAACGCAGATGTGGTACCCTACAGAAGCACTGCCAGCCGCCATCCCCAGGCTAAGGATACCACAACCGTCCTATCCGCAGAGGCCGTCAGCAGGAGCGGGCGCTGCTCTGCACAAGACGCCAAGCAAGGAAACGTCGAAACAGCTGTTATCTTTTGCGTGTGTCCACTGAGTTCCAGAAGCTTTTCCCCTGTCTGAAATGACAATAAAAATGTTAAGAGGCTCATTTTGCACAATGCAAATAGCCTTAAGTGACAACACTGAGAAAAATCACCATGCAGAATCAAAGGAAGAGCCATGGGCTCTTCTTAGTGTGGTAGTCTAGTGGCTAAAATCCTCGCTTTGCATGTACCAGGATCCCAGATTGGCGCCAGTTCATGTCCTGGCAGCTCCACTTCCCATCCAGTTCCCTGCCTGTGGCCTGGGAAAGCAGTCGAGGACGACCCAAGGCCTTGTGATCCTGCACCTCCGTGGGAGACCTGGAAGAGGCTCCTGGCTCTGGTTCAGCTGCACTCCAGCTGTGTGGCCACTTGGGGAGTGAAGTATCAGAAGGAAGATCTTCCTCTCTGTCTCTCCTCTTCTCTGTATATCTGATTTTCCAATAAAAATAAATAAATCTCTAAAAAAGAAAGGAAGGAAAGAAGGGAGGGAGGGAAGGAGGACGAAAATGCTAACTCATTGCATATTTGTATACAACATTAAAAGCAGCATCCTTTCCTACGGTCTTAAGAATTAGATAAATTAAGCAGATAAACATCAGAACTTAACCTGATGGCAAAAATCCAGAGAGCATTATGATCCAAGTACGTGTTCTCTAGGTCTGTACATGGGAGCAGCCACACACGGGAACACACGTGTGTAACAGGTGTGTGTGCACATGCAGTGCAGCCTGTCAAGCTCATCAACTTGATTTTCCTCTATTTAAACTGCCACCTCTGCACTAGCCTGGGTGTCTTTGAGTCTCTCACCAATTTCCCAAGAAGTAGAAAAGACAGTTTTAATACAGAATAACCTGTAAATCTCCCAAAGGTTGCATGGTTACAAGAACGTGATAAAATCAGTGTGAAAGAGCAATCCAGGGCCTGACATGATGGCTCAGCGGTTAAAAGCTCGCCATGCACCCGCCAAGATCCCATGTGGGTGCCAGCACCCAGCTTCCCTTCCGGTTCCCTGCTGTGGCCTGGGAAAGCACTGGAGGACGGCCTGTAGCCTTGGGACCCTGCACATGCATGGGAGACTCGGAAGAAGCTCCTGGCTCCTGATCAACTCAGCTCCGGCTGTTGAGGCCACCAGGGAGTGAACCAGTGGATGGAAGATCCTTCTCTCTGTTATCTGCCTTTCCAAGTTAAAAAAAAAAATTTGGCCTTTGTTTCTCTAGGAAAAAAACAACAAAAAGCAGCTTTTCCTTTTTATTACGAAATACTGGTTTCTGTTTTAAGTGGATTTATCCTAACAAGCCCTTTTCAAGTGTCTGAGTCTCAAACATTACTCAAGTGCAAACGTACCCCCAGGAGTGCTCACAGCACAGCCTGCATCGCACAGGCCGCCACGACCAGTACACACCTGTGCATTCCACACAATCACAGTTCCGTCATCACCAGCTGACGCAAACCTGAGCAGAGGAAGAAAGGTTGAGAAATCAGTGACCTCAGCTGCTGCGACTGAGGGAGCGTCATGAACTCACAGCGGTGGCACTTGTGCTTACTGCTAACGAGGACTGAGTTTTTTAAGCTACTTTCTGGGTTCTGTGCCTAGGCAGGTGAAAACGTTACAGGTTTACAAAAACAACAGCAACAATGAAAGGAAAACAGACACTCTTCAAAGTCCTTCCTCGCCTTAACATTTTACCATCTTACAAAATCCCCAACTTGGGTGAAACAGCAAGAAACCGCGCAGACTGCCCAGCCACCGGCCCAGGAGGCGCCCAGGCCGTCCTCAACCCCATCCCTGCGTGGCTTCTCCATCTCCACTCCGTCTGCACACCCACACCTGCCCTGCCCACACGAGCTCTGTGTGCTCGGCTTAAAAGGTTTGGGGTTCTGGTTTTTGCCGTTTGCTGTTTTTGTTTTGTTTTCTGAGGGAAGTTTATCAAAAATTATTGAAACACAAAGGATAGTTTGTTCATTCCAGGAAATAAGACATAGTATGACTTCTGCTCTGGCCCCTTCCACTCTATCATCCGCATTCTGTAGAGAAGACACTGCTCACACAGCACTCCTTACTGCAGCAACCACACCACACCTCGTCCCCCCAGGGACATCCCACCCACCCGCACCTCGTCCCCCCAGGGACATCCCACCCACCCGCACCTCGTCCCCCCAGGGACATCCCACCCACCCGCACCTCGTCCCCCCAGGGACATCCCACCCACCCGCACCTCATCCTACCTCCAGATCACTCTCACCCGCACCTCGCACCTCGGTCCCCTCCTCAGGTCACACCCACCCGCACCTCGTCCCAGGGGTATCACACCCACACTGCATGTATTTCAAACCTCCCACTATTAATGCAGCACAATTATTAATGCTGGGGAACAATTTTAATGACTCAGAATCTACCGAAAGTTGTCCCATCTGTTCCAATCACTTGATTTCAGGTTGGATGTTCTGAGCAGAGAAGACAGGTGACATCACAGAAAAACCCGTGAGCCAAAAGGAACTGGCCCCTACAGTGAGGGAAAATTGACGATGCTCCACCAAGAGCTGTGACGCTGAGAAAGCGCCGAGCCTCCTGCAGCAGGTCACTGGGCTTCGCCCCCTCCGGGCGCCGTGGACCTCTTCACTCATGTCAACACGGGTGGCCACTCCTGGGTCACGTGACACCGACGTCACTTGGTCCTGTAGTGTGTGTGTCTGCTCTGATCTCACTATTTCATCCATGTAACACTTTGCTGAATATTCTCACTGAGCTTCAAACTTAAATTTATCACACTCGGATTTCCCCACGAGGACGTGGACTCAAGTCCATGTGCCATCATCTCCCGCCGCCCGGGGTGTGCAGGAGCAGGGCTCAGCCAGCACGCTCCGACAGCGCACGGGCACAAGCAGCCCCAAATTCAGCTCCGAGTCCTTCTGTGAGAGCCCAAAGCGAGCATCCACAGGAGCCTGGAATTCCACCGGAGCCGGCCTCGGACCCAGGTGCTCCACACCACGATATGGCGGCTCTCAGGTGCCTCCTGACCACCTCCAAAACCCAGAGAGAGCTCCCGGAACAAGGCTGAACCGCCACCACAGGCCCGCAAACATTTTAATACAGAAGACCTTTAGGAAGTTTTAGATAACTAGCTAGAACACACAGAGGAAAAAGCCTTTTAATCCGATCGTTTATTCTGTCAACACTGAACGCCCACGGTTAGAGGAACTGGAAATGAACGCTGAGCGGCGTTCTGGGTCCAGTGGAGCCCCTGGCAGTCTGAGACAGCCTGCGTTTCTGGGCCTATTGATTTCTTCTTATTTGTGTAGTGATGGCGGGGAGGGCAAGACTCAAGGTCTTAGCTTTTACTTGGTATAAAACATCAATTTCTATTGATTTTTTAAACTTATAATTGCTTTTCTTCCACTGAGAAGACCACATATTTAAAATATAGTTTTTCTAACCCTGATTTTAACTTCTCATTATTTCTATCAAGTTTGACTCTTTAATATGAGATGGCTGAACAGTTAAGAATCCAGAAATAAGATATACAGCATTGTACTTCAATTACTCTGTAGTGAACAAAGTTTGAACGAACAATAACAAAAGCATGAACTCACAGCCAGCTGTTTATGGCTCCCAGATCCATCACTCCGTGGATAATCTCCTCCCACACTGCCGCTCGGCCTCTACTGGCCATTTCCATATTTAGTACTCACCTACAAAGCATGAAGCACCAAAGCTCCGTGTCATGCCCACCCCTCGACAACTGACAAAGGGAGAGCATCTCTCCTGCCACAGTGAGTGCCCGGAGCCCACCGCTACTCCTCACTTTATCCCAGTCCAGAGGAGCAGCCACGCACACCGCACACCATCTCCAAATCTAAAACGAAAGCAATTCCCAAGAGCATTTACCGAAAAGAAGCAATTACAAAAACGGTGCACTAGTGAATTATTGTCCTATTATTTCATAGGACTAATTTCCTAAAACACAATCCACAGATTTAAGCCGCAAAGTAAGATCTTGAAAGAAACACTTCTTTACTGATTACAGTACAGAACATACTAAATCGGATTCTATGCTAGGGAATGCCAAGAAAACTAACACATGTGCTTGCCTTGAGATCATAAAATTTGATCAGTTTAGAAGTGTATTGTTTAGAAATTTCAAGTCTAAGACACTGTTATTTCTCAGACAATTATTTTATATGCCATGAAGGATAATGGTATATAATTAAGATACCAACGATGATATGACGAATCCAAATTTTAGGCATGTTCTAATGAGAAAAAAAAAAAAAGACTCTCAGAGGGTCCGGCGCAGTGGCCTAGCGGCTAAAGTCTTCACCTTGAACGCGCCCAATTTCTATAAAGGCACTGGTTCTAATCCCAGCTGCCCCACTTCCGACCCAGCTCCCTGCCTGTGGCCTGGGAAAGCAGTCGAGGACGGCCCAAAGCTTTGGGACCCTGCACCCGCGGGAAGAGGCTCTGGGCTTCGGACTGGCTCAGTTCCAGCCGTTGCAGCCGCCTGGGGATTGAATCATTGGACAGAAGATCTTCCTCTCTGTATATCCGCCTTTCCAATAAAAATAAAAATAAATCTTTAAAAAAAAAAAGTCATCGGGCCCGGCGCGGTGGCGCAAGTGGTTAAGGGTCCTCGCCTTGCACGCCCGGGATCCCATGTGGGCGCCGGTTCTAATCCCGGCAGCCCCGCTTCCCTTCCAGCTCCCTGCCTGTGGCCTGGGAAGGCAGTCGAGGACAGCCCAAAGCTTTGGGAACCTGCACCCGCGTGGGAGACCCTGAAGAGGCTCCTGGCTTCGGATCGGCATAGTATCGGCCCGCTGCGCTCACTTGGGGAGTGAATCATCGGACGGAAGATCTTCCTCTCTGTCTCTCCTCTCTGTATATCCGCCTTTCCAATGAAAAAATAATAAAAATAAATCTAAAAAAAAAAAAAAAAGTCATCATTTTTCTTACGGAGTTGTCACAGTCTAGATTTGCCGACTAGTTTCTTGTGTTGTCACCTAGCAGATAACCAACCTAGGACCCGAGAAGATTCCAACCTGAATGTCTGAAAAGATGATTTTCCAGGCCTTTCTGGTCCATACACTCCATCAGCAAACTTCCGGCAACTCTATCACAGCCGTGACAGTAACACTGACCAAGTACTAGAGCCTAAATGGATTGATCGTGAAAGAGTTTAGAGCACACAACCCCCCAATACACCACTCTACCACAGGACTCCTCTCCGCTGAAGACAACTGCGAGCTTCTGGAGAGAACGCCAGCACCCCCGGAAGGGCCTCTGCCCTCGCCTCACGCACCCCTGAGAACGCCAGCACCCCCGGAAGGGCCTCTGCCCTCGCCTCACGCACCCCTGAGAACGCCAGCACCCCCGGAAGGGCCTCTGCCCTCGCCTCACGCACCCGAGAACGCCAGCACCCCTGGAAGGGCCTCTGCCCTCGCCTCACGCACCCCTGAGAACGCCAGCACCCCTGGAAGGGCCTCTGCCCTCGCCTCACGCACCCAGACACACTTGCTTGCTCTTTTTTCTCTTGTTTATGTATCTTTTTTATCAGTTTTGTAAGGACCTTACAAATGAACCAAAGAAGCTGGGGAAATATTTTTTCCTCTTTTATCACTGCTTGTAAATTATTCTAATTTCCCCCCCCAAAAATACAGTTCTACATATAACAATTTCAGTTCTACATATTTTTCCTCCCTTCAATACTGCAGATTACAACTTGTAATATTGCAATTCTGAAAGAGATGAGTTACTACTGACATCAGGTACAGACGATGTTAGGAAGGCAGCATCCATCCTGACTTTGTTCCTACATGAACTAATCCTCAGAAGGCTGTTAGTTCCCTAGCATTCTCCAGCGTTAACCAGTGAGTGATTCAACTAGCAGTGATTTGAACATCACAGTTCACTGTAATAATTAACTGCACCAATACTCAAACTGTCAGGCGCGTGTTTATGGATACATTTTAAAAATCTTCAAATGTAGTGTTGTGGGGCAAGCAGCTCGTTCAGGGTCACGAGCTTGGAAATCACACACCCCCCACACCCCCACCACCTAGGTGGTCCCTTCTGCCCACCTGTAACACTCACCTGTCATCACCTGGAACCTGAGTGGGGGCAGTACTGCACTGCTGCGTGACCACTTCCCTCACAAGCCCCTAGAAAGGCCCATGATAGGGAGGGGCTCGCTCTCTTGTTCTGTGCCTCCCTCACTCTGGCACTCTGACTCTCAGCCTCTCCAGTACCGACTTGCTCTCTGGATCCCCGTGGACAGACTGAGGACAGGGAGCCCCTGAGCACGGCCCCTGAGTGTATTCCTCACCCTCTGCTCACTGCTTGGGCAGGACAGTGAAGACAGCAACGCTAAGATGCTTTGTATTTCTAATGTGTGTACTTTTTAGAGTTCCCGGAGAGGGGAGGCCTAGCAGTAATGGAGTGTGGGCAGAGAAGCCAGGT